TGGCAATGTAGGTGAAGGATTGGTTTGTTATGTCTTCTTGTTGACTCCAATATTTTTTAATAAGCTGGATGTTTACATGAAAATTAATTATGTGAGATCCTTATCTCACACTGTATCAAATCATAGGTCTCAGTGACTTGGTAAAGTACCAGCTGCTGTGAAGGTATTTTAGATATGATGATTATCATTGAAATCAGTAGACTTTATGAAAACAGATTAATGCACATAGTTTGAGAGCGAGAGAGGTAAGAAAGAGCAAGAGAGACAAATAGATTTTACCAGTTGAATATCTCAGAAAAAAAAAAAAAGACCAAGGTCCATTGAAGAGAAAGTAGTTCTGACCCTAGAAAATGTTTGGACTCAATACTGCTACATTAACTCCTGATGAAATTTGCAGATTGCAGTATTCTATGGCAATCTTTTTTTAACTTTCCAGCTCTCAGTTCCTTAAAATAAAATGTGTGTGTGTGTGTGTGTGTGTGTGTGTGTGTGTGTGTGTTTGAATGTCTCCTTTTTAATCTATTATTTTTCTGTCTGTGTAAGAATTGGGGTTTGGAGAGAGAGACAAATAAAATAAATCAAAAGAAAATCTATCACCTATTGATAGATATTAACTTACTAGTATGTCTTATCTATTGCAAATATCACTGCAATTAGAGCAAAGGAGAAAATAACCATTTGTGCAAAATACTGGCAGCAAAAATATATTCAGTTATTATATATTTATATGTGCAACGAATAGCAGCAATCATGGGAGAGAATATAAGTAGCTCGTAATTATAAGATTCTTCTACCATTTATGAAATGTTTTAGTGTTTCTAGAAATAAAATGCAATGTAAGTTAGTTGTCGATTGTTAAGGGGATTCAGGAAAAAGGAAAAAGAATAGTTGTCACACTAAGGAGAAAAAAATGAATCACATAAGCTACTCAGTTGAAACCAGAGAATATACACAAAAACCACTGAAAACAAAAATGAGGTAAATAACAGACTACAAACATTAAATATGAGAGATACTAACATAACTGTATTATTACATTAAATTGCAGTATCTGAGCATAAAGATAAAAGCAATCATGGAGCCTGCATTGTGTCTTTGCAGGTAAAGCTGTCACCAATGACAGCGATTGCATATGGTCGCCTGCTTGTGACCCAGCGGCTCCACTTGTGATCCAGCTCCTTGCTTATTGCCTGGGAAAAGCAATAGACACTGTCCTAAGCACTCCTGGCTCCTGCCATTGGCCTGGTTCAGCCCTGGCTGTTGCAAATATCTGTAATTCTGATTTTCAAATGAACAAATCTGTAGGAAAAAAAAAGACATAAAGTGTGAGACAGGATAAAAATTAGAATGATATGAAAGTCTATGGAAATGCTTTTTAAGCATTAGATAAGAAGAAAGGGGTGGATAACGAGAAGTCAAGTAAGCACATATATTACAGATGTTGCAGACTTCAAAGCAGGTAAATTTCATGGGAAAAATTACGTAATGAAAATTTCTCAAGAATATACAACTGTCTTTGTTGTGCCCACAGTACATCACAATATGTGAGGTCAAAAATCATAGACTACAAAGAAAAAATTAGATGAGTTTATTAATACCACTGGAGACCTTCCAGCTATCTATTGGTGGTTGAGAGATAATGGCAGGAAGTCAGGATGGACACATTGGTACTGAACAGCATCATGAATTACACAGGTTTAACTGATATCTGTGGAACATGTGTAACAAGAAATGAATGATATTCTTCTCAACCTTACACAGAATTTTAACAAGATAAACTGCTTTCTGATGAAATATAAATTAACTAGTTCAAATTAACACAAATTATATGAAATAATCCCATAGACTCTTATGTAATTAAAATTAACAGAAAGATAGCTGGAAACCTCTAAAACACTAGGCAATTACGTAAAAATTTCTTGACAGCTCATGAGTTAAAAAAAATTATCTCAAAAGAGACCATTTCAAAAGAGAGCAAAAATTTTTTTTAAGAGAATTTGTCATTCGTCGTTTGTCATTTAAGCAGTTTAGATGCTGCCATCTCTTTCCAACAATGAATAGAATTTGAATAAACTAAAACTAAGGCTCTTAGATTTCATAAATGAGCTCATATAGTAAACAGCTGTCCTCAAATTGGAAAGACAAGAGGCAAATACAGAGAATCAATCGTACCAAGGCAGAAATCCAGAACCAAAGGGGCCAGCATCCTGGCAGAGAGAGAAAAGCTGTATTTGTGAGCCAACCGAGTCCCAGCTGATCTGCTGCCAGCTCTGTTCCCTCTCCATGGACCTGGGAAGGCAATGGAAGATGGCCCATATCCTTGGGGCTTTGCCACCCACATGAGAGATTCAGATGGAATTCCTGTCTCCTGGCTTTGTTCTGACCAGATGTCGATGTTACAAGTATTTAGTGATTAAATAAGTGATTGGTAGTTCTTGGTCTCACTTTCATATAAATAAAAAGTTCATGGGAACTAGTGCCAGCATTGGAATCCTGAACTGTAATTGACAAAATGATGGCAGCTTAGTATGCATAAGCCTAAAAGATAAAACGTCAGGAATGCCCAGAAATGGGAATCTTCTAATTTTATCTCCAAGAGCTTTCCAAGTTCCTCACAGCAAAAGTCAGAGAAAATTCCCCTAAGCTTGTAGCAATTGAAAAGTTATGTGATTGACCAAAAGTAGTACTCAGATTTTATAGCAGTGAGAAAGAAATAAAATAACTATTGACTAGCACCACTATCATTTACATATAAAATTAAAGTATACAGTAATTAATTTTTCCCAGAGTTTTGTCATAACCTCCCTGATGAAGTTCATGAAAAGAGATTCAATTTTGTTAAACAAAAATAACTTTCATTTCGCCACAATCCTGGCTACTATCAAGAACATTTTAGGTAGAAGAGTGTAGGTTAAAATTTTCTAAAATCCATGAGTCAGCCTTTGTGTAGATAATGATGTTAAATGACATTCTTTGCTGATATTTTGAATGTGTAATTATATCCTTATATTACAGAGGCATTTACACTGAAGTAGGAAGTTGAAGTTATCACAAAACAGCAAGTCTGATTTATAAAAATATGTTTCATTGCTCTGCTGATTAGGCTCCTTGTTAAGTATTTCCTATTATTTCTTACGATTTTACTAATGGAGTCTTGATGTATCAATGCATGTGAAATTTTACCAATGTCCTATTGATTTATTTACAAAGATTTTATCTGAAAAGTTAGCTTGCTTTTGTCACAGAGGCTATTTTGGGTATATATAGCATTTTATCTACAGTTATTTAGTTCCAAATAATGATTTATTCATAGTTGTGTATTTTTGCCTTGGAGATTACTTATAAACTGATTGTGCTTTCCTGAAGTTACGGAAAATTGATGTGCTTTGTCTGGTATACACCTGTTTTTTTTTTTTTATTTGAAAGGCAGACTTACAGAGAGACAGAAAGAGATCTTCCATCTGCTGGTTCACTCCCCAAATGGTGGCAGTGACTGGACCAATCAAAAACCAGGAGCTTGGAGCATCTTTATGGGACTCCTATGTGTGTGCAGGGGCCCAAGGACTTGAGCTATCTTGCACTGCTCTCCTGGATCCTAAGCGGGGAGCTGGATCATAAATGGAGCAACTGGGACATGCATGCATAAGAGACGCTGGTGTCAAAAGTGGGTGATTAGCCTGTTATGCTACCATTCAGCCCCTTTCTGGTATACAACCTTTAAAAGTGTATTCAACTTTATTTCTGTGAAGACACAGTGTCAGAGAGGGGGTGGGGAGATATCTTCATCTGCTGGTTCATTCCCAAAATGCCCACAACTAGGGGTGTACCAAGACAAAGCGAGGAACAAAAGATGCCATCCAGATCTCCAAGTTTGATAGCAAGGACCCAAGTACTTGAGCCATCATCTGCTGCGTCTTGAGGTGCACATTATTAGAAATGTGAATGAGACTTGGAGGCACACATCTTCAATGGAATACAGTTGTCCCTAGCAATGGCCTAATTTGTGCTAATATGGCATAAATTAGTGTGTTTTTATTTAAGCACATAAATATGCCAATGAAACTGTTTTAAAATTGGTGTTACATTTTCATTTGTTTTTCAATTTAACTTGCTAACATCTTGGGGATAACACTTGAAAAGTTTAACTTAAAAATCCATGCTGAAGGACTCAATAGCATAGCGGCTAAAGTCCTCACTTTGCATGCGCTGGGATCCCCTATGGGTGCCGGTTCTGATCCCGACAGTCCTACTTCCCATCCAGCTCCCTGCCTGTGGCCTGGGAAAACAGTCAAGGATGGTGCAAAGCCTTTGGGTCTTGCACCCACATGGAAGACAGGAAGAGGCTCCAGGATCCTGGCTTCTGATGGGCTCAGCTCCAGTCATTGTGGATGCCTTAGGGAGTGAATCAGAGGATAGATGTTCCTCAGTCTCTTTTTTTCTTTGTATATTTGGCTGTCCAATAAAAATAAATATTTAAAAAAGTCTATGCTCAGTGTGCCAATGTGATGGCGAAGCAAGGCTCTCATCCTATATTGACACTTGTCCTACTCCCAGCTGTCCCACTTCTGATCTAGCTCCCTCTTAATGACCTGGGAAAGCAGTGGAGAATGACTGAAGTTCAACGCACAAAAGAGATTCAGAAGAGACTCCTGGCTCCTGACTTTGGACTGGTTCACCTCTAGCTGTTAGAGCCATTTGGGGAGTGAACCAGCAGATAAAAGATCTGTCTCTCCCTTTCTCTCTGTAACTATTTCAAATAAAGTAAACAACTCTTTAAAAAACAAGTCTATGCTTTGTAATGCCTGCTGAATTACCAGGTTTACTAATTGTGTTTTCAGTCATTTGTTCCCAAAACATTCAGGTAATACCACTGTTTAACATCTTCTTATCCTGAAGTGATGCTCAAGATCATTTATTTAGCTATCACTTTACAAGATAGCCTTTACATTTTTTATTGATGTTACTTTCAGTATTATAAATAACAGGAGACCATATTATGCTTTAAAAATACTTTATTTCTAAAGGAATCAAGCATACTTATAGCAGGAATAGAAACTTCATTGCTTGTTCTGATTAGATGGTGAGGATGATTTTGAAGTATCATTATTAGGTCGGGAAAACACTTTTGAAAGAGCAGAGGACACCTTGGCAAGCATATTAGATCCTTGTTTGGAAATACTGGCTTTGGGAGAGTCTGTAACAGAAAGTTAATATGGATACTTAGTAGACATTTTAATCAACAGTTACACTAGGGCAGTGATGACTTAGAATTCAGTAAATGATATTTAGAAAATAAACTGTGGGATTTTAACAATTCATAAGATTCACTCTACTTGATCCATAAAACTCCTGTGAAGGAAGCGAGTAGAATGATACCTTTATTTTTATACTCGGAAGCTTGCTGAGGTCACATGACCTGCCTAAAGTCATGTGAGTTGAAATTAACTAAACTAGGAGTAATCTCTAGGTTTCTGGCTCACATGCCATTCTTATGCCTATCTCACTTGAAGGATTCTGTAGGCAGGGTGCTAAGTTCAGCTTTTAATTTTCCATTAGAAAATTTGAATAATACATGATGAGCTAAAGGGAAGGTAACTTTCAATGCTACCCAGTGAGAATATTTTCCTCAGAATTCTGATTTAACCCTGCCGTAGGAAACTGCCTAGGTTGCTTTGTACCTAGTCAAGTGTTACACTGCTGGGAGAAAAGTAGCCAATAGCTGGCAAACATTTTAGGCCTGATTAATTCCAAATTTGTGTTAACTAAGCTAGAATAGAAGCATTGTTTCTTATTCCTTTCTTGTTTTAAAGATAAGTGGGGAAATGAGGAATTCTGGGTCTAAACATGCCACTCTGGTCCCCAGGTGGTAGAGGGCTGCAGATTGTCCAGAGAAAAGAGTCTGGTGATGTACTAGAATGGGAACATATGAGGGTATCTGACAGGGAAGGAATAATTTCTGTGTTCTTCTATAGACCAGGCCACTGCACTTGCAGATGGGTAGAGGAGCTGAGATGGAATGATTTAGAAGAGGGGAAACAAGAAGGTGTGTCTGGGTCATGCTAGGGTACCTGGCCACCTAGAAGACCTGTCACTTGCAAAAGCTAGTGCTGGTGGGCAAGTCGGGCTGGGCTAAGCCACAGTACCCACCCATGAGTGTTGGAGCAGGGAATGGACCACATCTGGCTGGGTACAGCACCCACCAGAACATAAGAGAACTGAATCTGGAAACACTTTCTGTAGGGGAATTGTGGCTTGTCTCTGAGGGACTGCAGCACCTGCCAATTTATGCAGACATGTGGGTAGTAATGGGTCGAGCCAGGCTGGACCATAAAACTCAGCCTACCTGACACTTGCAGGAGTAGGACTGGGAGAAGCCCATGCAAAGATTGGGATTGAGGGCAGACCGTTTCATGCAGGTAGGTTCCCCTTCTGGCACATGTGAGATCCAGGGAGGAGGCCTGGTAGGCATATTTGGGAAAATCCTCCACTAGGTCACAGTTCCCTCTGTATCATGGGTGCCAAGACTGGGGGTGGGTCTGACCAGGCAAGGCTGAAACAATTGTCAGCATTTGTGTGAGCTAAGTCTGGAGACAGGCAAGGTTGGGCCAGGCCTTAGCACCCACTGGCAAGCACAAGCGGCAGGAAAGGTTGTGGATGTAGCTGGGCTGGGTTACAACACCCACTAATTAGAGCTAAGACTGTGGGGGCTCCATGCCACGCAGAATCTGTGCACCTACCAGGACATGCAAGAACTGGGACTGGGAACGGGTCTGGAAGGGGTAACTGTGGGGACTCTTGTTGGGCTGCAGCTGGCTGCACTGGTGAGTGTGAGATCCAGGATTGTGGGAGGATCAGGCTGAGCAAGGATGCAGCAAACATTGGCATGCATATGTGTTGGGTCTAGGTGCAGGTCAAAATGGGCTCAGCCTCTGCACTCATTGGCACTCTCAAGTGCCAGAATGGGTGTGGGACAGGCAGAGTTAGGCCATGGAACCTGCTTAATTACATGAGAGCTGGATCTGAGTGTGGGCTTATCTGGTTTATGCTGTAGCACCTGTATGTGAGATCCAGAATGGGTTAGGCCATCAGATTGGGCTGTAGTACTCACTGGTGAGTCCCAAGACTGATGGCCAGCCCTGTCAGTCTGGATAAAGCACCCAAATGGCACAAAGATCTAGGGTTAGGAGTGGGTCTAGTAGGGGAACCTAGGGAAACTCCCTTGCTAAGCACAGCTTCTACTGGTGAGTACAAGAGCTGGGGCTAGGAGCAGGCTAGGCAGGCTCTGCTGCAGCACTTATTGGTACATGTATGAGCCAGTTCTAGGGATGGGTTGGGCAGTGTTAGTCCACAGCACACAATGACATGATTGTCAGACAAGACAGGGTGCAGGCCAGGCTGAGAAGGACCAAGACAGCCTCTAATTCACATGAGAGCTGGGGGTGACCCAGGCTGGGATTTACTGCTGTACCCACTGATGACACCAGGGACTGGTGGTAAGCTGGGCTAAGCCAAGCTGTAGCATCTGCTTGTAAATGCTGAGAATGGAGGAGGGCGATCTCAAGTTGGGCTGTGGCACTTCATGACACATGCACAACCCAGGGATGGGCACTGATCTGTTAGGAGAATTCAGATTCCTTTGCTAGGTTAGGCTGCTGTTTTCAGTAGTGATCGTGAGAGCTAGGACTCTGGGTGGGCCTGGCTGGGCTGGCTGCTGCACCTGCTGCTGTGCACAAAACCAAGAATGGGTGCAAGCCAGCCAAGTTAGGCCATAGCACTAGCTGGCATGTGCCTGAACCGAGTATGATTCATGTCAGATTGGACTGCAGTAATCCCTGGTAGGTGTAAGATCTGGGACCGGGAACATACTTTGTGGGGGAATTGTAGGCTCTCCCCTGCTGGTGTATTTCTATCACTGGTGTACACAAGAACCAGGACTGAGGGCGGGCCAGGCTGTAAAAGGCAGCAGCACTTGTCAGCATATTGAGGGTTCAGTTCTAAGGTGTATGTCAGGATGAGCGAAGTCTTAGCACCCATGGCTGTGCATGAGAACCAGAAGGGATGTGGACTGGACCAGGCTAGGCTGCAACAGAGGCTGACACACAAAAAAATTGGGGCTGGGGTTGGCCTAGTGGGGGTTATTAGAGGTCATCTCAACTAGGCTGTGGCACCTGCTGATATACCCAAGAACTAGTTCATGGGGGACTGGCAGGGCTGGGCCATAGCACTAGTCAGTTTGCCTGACATATAGGACTGGTAAGCTACAGGCAGCTACATCCATGAGTACGTGGACTGGCTGGTGTAGATGACAGACTGAACCTGATTCTGTACTGGCTGGCACAAATAAGTGTCAAATCTGAGGTCATCCCAGGTGAGGTTTCTTGGGAGCTCCCTGATTAGATGCTGGACCCAGACCCTGACCACAGGGAGAATCATAGACTGTGTAGTCCAACCTTGGGGTGAATGTATCAGGACTGGGCTTCCTTAGTTGCTGGTGCCTGTGCAGTGGACAGCATGTGTAGTTGCACACGGAGAATATGACAACCAACTCATCTAGGCCAGCAGGGGATGTTAACTGTCTTCTTAGTGAATAGAAGTCACAATAGGTTGAACAATTCTTCTGACAAACTTTGCTGCATATTTCTGAATCTGTGTCTGCTCTAAGGTGAAATTTGTCAATCCACATACCTTGGAAAGATTTTTCTCAACCCTGGAGCAATGAAACTGAAAACATCTCAGGGCTATGGAAACCACTCAAGTAACACCTTCAGAACACTTTTCCCACACTGAGACCTCTATGTGTCACCAAATTACCATCTTGCCTCCCCAGATGTTGATATCGTTTGACAGCAAGTAGCTGCCCTCTGCTAAAAAGACTGCAACATGTGTCCTACCCTCCTTCCTCCATACCTTACTATCCCCACCCTAGTCAGAGGCCCACATGGGCATGCATTCCTCTCAACTATGTAAACAACATTAAAAATTAAATTAAAATTAAGAAAAATAATTCTTAGGCTAAAATGAAAGTATATTAAAAGTACTGTAATTCCTCAGCCACTTTGGATAAATCTGGTTGGCTGACAGAAAACCACTTTTTTATTTCATCTGACATCAGGTAATATAGATAATCAGTCTCAGTGAGGATTTTTTTGTGTTCTGGATGATTTTCCCAGGACTAAGGGTTCTTAGAGAAAATCGTACTTCACTTTAACAGGATCGCTATTTGATGTATAAAAGCAGAAACAAGCATGCATGTGTGTTCTGATATTCTATAGTTACGTTTTAAAAAGATGCACAAATATACATGGGACTAAAAAACATATTTTTGTAATTACTACACAGGCTATTACAGAGTCACAGATTTTCATATCAAATATTTGTATTCGTTTTCTTTTGAAAACTGGCAAGATTAGCATTGGAAGACCCTGACAGCAATCTAGACAAACTATCTCCAGTGATTCACTGACCCCTGCTCAACTGGCTGCTCTGCTTTGGATTGCTTACTCGGCTCCTCTAACCATGTGCGGATGCAAACTAGGATGATGTAGAATGCCTTAAGCTTTTGAAAACAGGGCGAGAATCACAGCTTTGCAGCTTACTACCAGCGGGTGTGGAGCTTGGGGCATGGCAAGGTGGCGGATGATATGTGATCTTAAATAATAGATTGCTGGGATTTTTCCTTAACTATTCTTACTTTTAATGAGAACTGCACAGTAAATTGAAAGTTGATTTTTATATATAAGTGGTATAAAGGTTAATTATTAAAATTTTTAGTACCATGCTGTAAGGAAAGCGCTATGCACATGGGGAGGGCCACTAAGCAATAATTTTGAACTCAAAATAACTAAGTTGTTATAATGATAGCAGTTAATAATACTATTTATTATTACTATAGTATTTAGTTGTGTATAATACTAGTTGTTAAAACACTAGTATGTTTTGTACCTGCAATGGTTTCCTTTGAGGAATATGCACTGCCAGCAGCATCACTGGACCCTTCAAAGATGGTGATAAACTGTCAAAGCAAGTTGAAATACTTTCATTAGACACTAAACACTGGTTATACCTAGGACTCTTCAAAAGATACACACAACTGCTAAAACATCTTAAAAAATGGTATTTTATATTTTTTCCCATCATAATTAATAGGATTGGTCATGAATTGAGGTCTTTTATTGCAAAATTGTGGGAAAAGTTCAGTTGGTCATATTAACTCATGAAATTATTACCTCTTATTGTCCCCCTTCTACTTTGGCTAAATTAGGAAAAGCTCACAGTCTTTAGAAAAGAATAGATAAGATGTTAGGGGAAAAGGAAAAAAAGGATGAAAACCTCACACTTTTTTGTTTTCTTTATGGAAATACTCTCTATTGTTAGAACCAGTGCAATAAAGTGAATATGTTGACCTAGAAGTCCTGGAAGGAGACAAGGTTTAGATACTGGCTTTACTTTGCAGACTTTATTATTTGTTTGACTGTAGAAGCACAAGTTGTACTAGAAAGACATAAAATAGGCTGAAAAAGGTGATCTATTTTTTAGCTATTCTATAATGTTATCAATTTGAAAAGTGAATATTCATTGAAATAAAAGTCTAACTTTATGTAATACTAGATCATGTAAAAAGCAACAATTTTATAAGATTTATTTTTATTTGAAAGGAGGAGTTATACAGAGAAGCAGAGACTGAGCAAGGTTCATTCCCCAAATTGCTGCAATGGCCAGAGCTGAGTAGATCCAAAGCCAGGAGCCAGGAACTTCCTTCGGGTCTACCATGCAAGTGCAGGGTCCCAAGCATTAGGGCCATCCTCTGCTGTTTTCCCAGGCTGTAAGCAGGGAACTGAATCAGAAGTGGAGCCACTATGGAAGTTCAGCCTTCTATGCCATGGTGTAAGTTCCAAAGGCAACATGTACAAGAGGTTCATGACAGAAAAATATTATTTGAAAGTATGAATACCAGAGGCCCATACTATCTTCCTTGGGATCCATGGAGGCAGGAAACTCTGATTTTCTGAGTGAGAGAGAGAGAAAAAAAATAAAACCACAAACAAAAAAACTCCCATGTGAGTACTGGTTGGAGATCTAGTTGCTCCACTTCTGATTCAGCTTCCTGCCAATGGTTTGAGTAAAGCAGTGAAGCTGGCCCAAGTATTTGTGGCCTTGCTATCCATGTGGGAGATCTAAGTGAAGCTCCTGGCTCCTGGCTTCAGCCTGGCTTAACTCTGGCTTGTTGCATCCATCTGGGAGTGAACCTGTGGGTGGAAGACAGCTTTTTCTTTCTCCTCCTCTCTCTATAATCTTACTTTCATATATATGTATATGAAAATATGAATATGTATATATTATATATATTTCTAGGTTTATCACTAACATAGGAGGACACTAATATAGATAGGAGAATTAGAGCTGAAAATCCTGAATCCAAATTCAGGGGTAGATGCTACTATGTACCCTGGAGAGTAGATGCACTTAAATGTTTTCTGGTGGTTTTGTTTTATTTTCAATTGATGGATATTTGCCTATTTTTATGGAGCACTATTGTAGTGTTATAGTGACAACCTTCATTTCTTTTGAAACTCAAAATCTTGGTTGTCATAGAGTTGGCCTTTCGTTCTTTTTCTCAAAATTTAAAATAAATACTATACTGTCTTTTTTCTTTGTGCATAGAAAATGGGGGCTGGCATTGTGGCATAGTGGGTAAAGCAGTGGGACCTGTATGCTCCACTTTTGATCCTGCACCCTGCTAATGTACCTGAGAAAGAGAATGGACCAAGAACTCAGGTCACTGAACCCCCAGGGAAGACCCCAAAGGAGTTCCTCGTGCTTGGCTTCAGGTCAGCCCTGCTCTGGCCACCGTGGCCGCTGTGGATGGAAGGTCTCACACTCTGTCTCCCTCTTGCTGTTTGAGGCTCTGCCTTTCAAATAAGTCAATAAATCTAATATATGTGTGTGTGTATATATATATACATATATATTATATGACATTTTGGGTCTTGCCTTCTGAGGCAGTGATTTCTTGTAATTGCAGTTTGGGAACTTTGTATTGTCATTACAATAGCCTTTACATGCACTACTAATAAGACTGTAGAGTTAAGGGACCAGCATTGTACAGTGGGTTAAACTGCCTTCTGTGATACCAACATTCCACATTAACAGGAGTTGCAGGCCTGTATGCCTCACCTCCAAACTACCTCCCTGCTAATACAGCTGAGAAAGCAGCAGAGGGTGGCCTAAGTCCTTGGGCTTCTGTCACCCACCTAGGAGACCAGTGTTAAGTTCCTGACACCTGGAGTACCTGCACGTAACTTCTGGACCTGAGCTAACTCCCCAACTCACCCCACCCCAGCCCTTCCCCATTTTGGCCACTTGAGAAGTCAACCAGAGGATGAAAGATTTCACTCTTTCTCCCTCTTTTTGTAACTTTGGATTTCAAATAAACAAATGCATATATATATATATATATATTTTTTTTTAACCTTAAGACTACAGTTAAGTTCACAAAGCCTAATGTGTGTGCTTGTTTTTGGAAAGCATAGCCTAAGAGAAACCTGAAACTATTAAATAAATATATGTTTATATTCACAAAAGAGGATTAGGTTGAATGGAGAACCAACCCAGTGTCTTTGTAAATGTGGCAAACAAATATCAGTTAGAAAATTTTACAAACTGATTTTCAACACAGTGATATACACTTCTATGGGAAATGACAGGATAATTGATGGACATTGTTAAATGCAGGTGGAAACAATGTTGTAGACCCAAATAGGCTCTGAAGAGTCATTCTTTATTTCTAACTTTCTGAGAAGGATTAAGGGAGAGAAACCTTCTTAGGCTCACAGTGGAGAGCAAGAGAGCATTTTATAACAGTAATGAGTGAGTTCTTAGGCACGTGGGGTCAGCATTCACTTGTTGAGAAAGTCACTTTCCTCAGTCTTTCAGGTCTATAGCCCCTGGCTCCCTCTCTTGGGTCTACTGCCTTGACAAGAGACTCAGCCCTTCTAGGATTTTCTCCCAAATAAAAGAGTAACAAGGGCTTAAGAATAAAACCATATGTGGGCATTGTGGAGAAGCAATACTTTACTTTGCATATCTCAAGAGAGAATACAGACTGAATCATAAGTTGAGAATTTTCATTAGGGGATTTCAGGTACCAGGAACAAGACTGTTAGTAGAAGAGATTTGGATCTGAAGCAATTGTGGAAAAAAAAAATTCCTGAAATTCCCCAGTGTAATACAGTAGCACACAGTAGTCCCTGACTGGACTTTGCAAATTATGCAGTTTTAAACTGGACTCCTACACACCAGTTAGAGGCTGTTGAAAAGTGTTTACCTTCACACTGCTTGCATGCTCCGGCTTTCGTTCCTGATAGCTTTCTGTGGGGGTGGAAAAATGAAAGTAGCATTGTTTCTGAGGTCGAAATACATATGCGAATTTTTTTCTTTGAACAATCATGTAATTTAGCCACATAGAAGAAGCAATTGCTTTTTAAAGTGTATACAATGAGAACAAGGCTGAAATTAAGTAAAACTTTTAAGCATATGTTAACCCTTAGAAATTGTGTAAGATGAAGATGATTGGGTAGGGAAACCTGGTTATATATGTTGCTAGTTATATAAATTAAATACATACAAATTAACTGCATGGGTACAGCTATTCCAACTCCAGGGACCTGTTTACCTGAAAATGCGAGACTACTTTATAGATAATTCCTAAGGGATTACAGCTCACCCATCCAAGTACTAACCAGGCCCGACCCTGCTTAGCTTCTGAGATCAGACGAGATCGGGCGCGTTCAGGGTGGTATGGCCGTAGAAGTGATTCCAGCTCTAATCTGCATTTGAGTCATAGTTTACCTGCTTGGAACTATATAAACATTGATAAATTGATTGTAACTCTGAACCGTGATTTCTTCATGTGTGTCAAGTGTACAGACTGTCCTCTCTGTTTTGCAAGGGGAAATAGTGAAACATGTTGCTAAAACCATAGATTTTGGACACATGTACTTCTCAGGAACCATTGCAAGCATTCACTTTCCAAATCATCCATTTGGCTCATAAATGTTCTAGAAAATAAGTAATAGTAAGACATTGAGCAACTCAAATAGGAAAGCAAGTGATTGAGTTATCTGAAAAATATTAGTAAGATGGTATCTTTGGTTAATAATTTTCATAAGATTTAACCATCTACATTACATTGCAAAAATTTTTTTTTATTTGCTTTTACAGACTGAGAACATATTTACTACTGTTCTGTCATTCCAAACAACACCTTTTTCCATTTCTAGATGAAACCAGCAGCAAAACTTCAAGTTGGGTTGATGAAGTGGCACAGACAAATCAAAGGTCCCAAACTGTCATAATTAAATCATTTGAGATTTTATTGCACTTTGTATGCATCTAGAAATCCAGCATTGACCTTTTGACTGAACTCCAAACCTAAACATCTGATTACTTAGGTAATACTTCATCTTGAGTGCCTAAAGAATACTTCAACCGCAACATAACTGAAAGTATTTGTATTCTTTCCCCTAGTCTCTTAGTTCTTCCCACAGTCTCTTTTCTTACTGAATGCCTCCAAGTACTATAAGTCATCTACAATTTGGTTAAGGGGATACAGTTGAGAACAGAAAGGAGGGATCAGCGACTAGAAAGGCCCTAAACGTCTGGAATACTTGAGGAAGAGTTAGGAGTTCAGTTAGGCTGGGGTGGAGTGAGCCATAAAGAAACAAGGAGAGGGTTAGAGAAGTTATGGGAGCTAAAGGGATCCCCAGGTGCTGCCACTATAATGACTTGAGAGTTTGTTCTCATATTTCTCTTCCAACTCCAAGTTAACATTGTAATACCCATGAGAAGAATGACTGTCACTTATGACTTAAAGGAGATAGCTTCAAATGAATGAATAATTGAACAGTTACAGTATACTGAAGGATATGAGAACCAAGCATGATCACTGCAAAACAGCTGAATAAAACAAAACAAAAAAACCCCACTGATAGTTGTAGGAGACTTGAGATCCAAATTAGATTATTTTCAAGCAGAATAACACTGGACTAGTCATTTATTCAGTCTCAGCTTAAGTTTATCTATAGAATGAGGAGGTTGATAGTCAGCCGTGCTAACAGTGCATGACTCCATAACCTGGAGCTTGTATCAGTGATTATTGTGACTCCTACTGGTTGTATTTTTATGAAAATTCTGACAGACTTACTATTGTAAGTAAAATGTATTACTAAAATGTCTTCTAAGTTGAGGGAATATGTTCCTTGCATGGGTCGAATGCTTGAAATAGTCATGATAAAGCTGTAGTTAATACTCAAGGCCATTTTATAGTAAACAGAACGATTCCTCTTATACATGCTATCATGGCTAGATTTATACTCTGAGGTCAAAAGACAGACTAGTTGAAACTTCTGACATTCTAAGAGATCAGCACCAGAGTAGATTTTTTAAATGGAAGGAAAGGAAAAAAAGGGAGGGGGATGTGAGGAAGAGGGAGGATGAAGGTGAAAGAAATGAGAGAGGAAGGGAGGCTGGCCCTCTATGGCTCGTTTTTTTTTTTTTTTTAATATTCATTGATTACTTCACAATATCTTATTGCATGAGATACAGGCTTTTGGGGTTGAAATAATATTACTGTTTCAGATTGACATCAATTCATAACAACCACATCAACAACAACAGCAACAACATCAACAACAAAGTATATCACCCTGAAAAGAAGTAACACCACTGAATAGCCAACACATGCATGACAAAAAGGAAAGACAGAAGTCTCTCGGGAATAATGGTGCCATCATATACTTCATAAGCACGTGATGAATTCTACTAGAGAATAAAGATTATTTGGAAGCAACCAAACTGAAATAAAAACATCAAAAAACCAGGATAGATTGGAATGTTGGAGTTACCCTTTCCATATTGGCTTCCTTATATGAGAGAGAATATATGGTATTTGTTCTTTTGTGATTGACTCATTTCACTCAGCATAATGGTTTCTAGTTGGGACCACCTGGTTGTAAATAGAATAATTTTGTTTTTCTTAATAGCTGCATAATATTCCATGGAGTAGATATACCACAGTTTCTTTAACCACTCTTTCTTGGATGCACATCTGGTTTGTTTCCATGTCTTTGCTATTGTAGATTGTGCTGCTATAAATAAAGGATTACAGATCCCCTTCTCACATGCAAATTTCACTCCTTTTGGGTATATTCCTAGGAGCGGGATAGCTGGGTCATATGGCAGGTTTATTTGCAATTTTCCAAGCACTCTCCATACTGATTTCCACAGTGGTTGTAGTAGCCTACACTCCCACCAGCAGGGAAGGAGGGTACCTTTCTCCCCACATCCACGTATGGCTGGGTTTTAATATGAGCAAATGAATTTAACTTTTAGGGCTTTTTAAAAATATGTCTTGCTAGGGATAAATTTAGACATGCAGAAATAGGAAACACTGCCTGCTAAGGAGCTTGCAGGCAGGCCTCAAAAATCACTAAATTAATCAAACTACAGCTTTCGTTTTTTTTTTCTTATTTTTTAAAAGTTGATAATTTTGCATAGCTCTGAATGATGTTATAAATATCCAAATAACCTGTGGCAGAAAACATGTTCTCCTTCACTGAAGGAATTTTAGTTTCCCCAAACAAACAAACAAACAACAACAAAAGATCAAACCCAAATGGCTTGAGCTCTGGCCCAAACATGGATTATCATAAATACAGAGCCTCACAGGAGTCTTATAGGAGCAGAGAAAATGTGTATGCATAATTATACCTCATGTGTTTCACTTCAAATTAATGGACTTTTAACAGCAGTTCAGATAAGACAGTGTCTGGATTCATCTCACACCGGAATGATATAACACTGGATCACATTTCAAAGCAGAGAAGCTCACAGGAGAAAAAAAGCAACTTCAAATGAACAACAACAAACTGTTGACAGAGTTTTCTTTTGAATATACATGCTCTAATTTAAATAAAGAAAAAAGAGTCCAACCTTCTAATACTGAAGCACTGGGATCTGAGCTGGATTGTTCAGTCTCGCTAAAACAAAGGAAAGAGGACATAATTTTCAGTGCATTTGATAAATGAAGAAATTATTGGTTAAGCAAAGTAATAGCTGATCTATTTGGAAGGAAATCTGATAGTATGTTTCTGAAATTTCAAATGGAATTAAGCTGATTCCTGAACTAATTTTTTCCACTTTAAAGCTATGATTAAAATTGTATAAAAAGCATCACCTTCACTATTCTTAGATGAATTATCCTGTGGTTTGAGAATATCCACATTTTTATACAACTATCATCACTATCCATCCCACTTCCCTTTTTACATCTTACCTAATTATAACTTCATGACCATTAAACACTAATACCCTTTTCCTTCAATCCTCTTTCGTTTGACTGCCCCTTCCCTTTACTCCTAGAACTTAGTACTCTTCCTGATTCTATGAATATGACTATTTTAGCATTACATATGAATAGACACATGGACTATTCTTCTTCTGTGTCTAATACCCAAATTAGCATAATATAAGATCTTTAATGTTCACACTGTAGCATGTGAACACCGAGCTATAGAATATGCATAACATATTTTGTTTATTCATTCTTCTGTCAACAGATGCCTGATTACTTTCATTATTTGTCTATTGTGAATAATATTATACACATGAATATACAAATATTTGTTCTAGTCCCTGGCTTTGCTGTTCTTAGACATATACTCAGAATTAAAATATTGTATCATATGCTAATTCTATTTTTAATTTTTAGAGAAAACGGAATAATGTTTTTCATACTGTGTGCAACATTTTATATTCCTACCAGATTCCCATTGCTATACATTACTGTTAGTGCTTATTTCCTTCCTCTCTTCCTTTCCTCCTTCCTCTTCCTTTCTTCCTTTTTAGCTCTTTTCTTTTTTACATATCCTACAAGTTATTGCTATAGCTTCATTTTAACTTTGATTTCCATTTATTTAATGATTAGTGAACATTTTTATGTACTTATTAACAATTTGTATACCTTCCTCGAAAAACTAGCTATCCATATCTTTTACACATATTGGACTTTTTTCTTTGGTTATCAGTGTTTAATTACTGAGTTTTTCATGTATTCTGGATATTAATTCATTCTCAGATAGATGATTTGAAAATATTTTCACTAGTTCTTTTGTTGATATCTTAGCCTGTTGACAATGGCCTTTGAAACACAAAAATATCCAATTTATAAAAATTGTTAGAATTTTATTATATTTGCTAGAAGACAGAGAAAGAAATGAGAGAGAGAGTTCCTACCCACTAATGCACCCTGGAAATACGTACAGTAACTGGGGCTTAGATTGAAGCCAGGAACCTGGAACCACACCTGGGTGACCCATGCAAGAAAGCTGGAATCAGGAATCATTCCTAAACCCAGCCCCAGGTTCACCCTTATGGGATACAGTGGTTCCAAGTAGTATTTCAACTACTGAACCATGTTCAGTTTATCTAATTTATATCTTCTTGCCTGTATTTTTGTTATATTAAAAAAGTTACTAAATTCACTTTCATGTTTTAAGCATTGCAAAGGTTTTTTAAATATTTTTATTTATTTTTATTGTAAAGTCAGATATACAGAGAGGAAGAAAGTCAGTGAGGAAGTTCTTCTGTCCATTGATTCACTCTCAAGTGAATGCAGTGGCCGGAGCTGTGCCAGGACCCCGGAGCCCCTTCTGGGTCTCCTATGCAGGTGCAGGGTCCCAAAGCACTGGGTCATCCTTGACTGCTTTCCCAGGCCACAAGCAGAGAGCTGGCTAAGAAACAGGGCTGCCGGGATTAGAACAAGTGCCCATATGGGATCCTGGCACATGCAAGGTAAAAACTTTAGCAGGGACTGTGCTTGGCACAAGAATTACAAAGTTTTAGCAGATACATCTCTGATATATTTTGAGTGAATTTTTGTATTTCGTGTGAGGATCCACATTTTTCTGCATGTGAATATCTATTTACTTGAAAATGCTATCCTTTTCCTGTTTATCTTAATACCGGTGTTGAAAATTCATAATCACACAAGTTTACATACAAATTATAATTCACTTTTGCTGTGATTTAATTCTAACTTTGTGTCAAAATTACATTGTTTCAATTTGTATGGTTTAGAAGTAAAGTTTAAAATCAGAAAGTGAGACACTTCCAATTTACAGCATTCTTTAAGCTACTATAGTCCCCTGATGATTGTTTGCTCTTTTCCTTAGAGTCAAGCTTCAGCTTTATTTTGGGGGAACATGTCCTGCATTTTCAATATTAGTCAAATATGTAATTTGAGTTAAAGAATTTCAAAAAAATATTTCTTGGTCATGAGACAGAAAGAGTTTGGGAAATACTCATAGCTGGAGTCTGCAGTACCACTGCTGGTAACATTTATTTCGTTAATTCTCATGTTATTTTGATATTAATACGGTGAGAATAGATTTAATGCACTTCATAGTTACAATCCTAAGATACGTGTTATTTTCCCTTCCTTCTTCTCTCCTATTCTCTCCTTTTCTATTTCTTTCAATGTTTTTCTTTCTTTCATGCCTGACTTCCTTCTTTCCTCCCTTCTCTATACCTCTCTTCATCTATTTCTTCTTCTCTCCTTCTCTCTTCTCCTTCTCTCCTTCTCTCTCCTCCCTCCCTTCCTTCCTTCCTTCCTTCCTTCCTTCCTTCCTTCCTTCCTTCCTTCCTTCCTTCTATCCAAAATACTAAAAATGAGTTTTATTCTGTTGGGGAAAGAATTTGGGACTTGAGCTTATTGGACTTAAATGTGCTGTGGTTTGCTGGGAGAAGCTGAATAAGAATGAGGAAATATATGAAGAATGGTTTATCATTTTAAATGTAGCTTCTTATTGAATGTTCCTTTTGTTCCTGTATATATACTTGATTGCTTTGTAGACATTTTGTATGATTATATTATAAAAATAAGGTAAATATTTTGATAGTTTATAATCAGTTTTCAGTCTTATTCCATCATGAGAAAATAAGGGCTGAAACTTATCTAAATGTATATATTTGAGCATTTTCTATACTCCCTTCTTATTTCATTGATACAATCATTAGAGAGATACCTGAATTTAATACACAGTCCATACACTGATCCTCCAGTCATCAGAATTTATTCTGTTTCCTCTCATATACGGTTATTCATCTTTGAAAGCTCATGTCAACCTCTATTGATTTCTATAATTCATCTCTGTATGCTCCAACTTAAATTTCTCCCTCTTTTTTTGTATTCTTCTTGTTTACCATAACAGTTTTTAATAGATAATTGTAAGGGTGACAGTTCAAATATTTTGAAAAATTTGTAAAGTTTTGTAAAGTTGACTAAAATATGTTTAAGGAAAAATTTGGCTACTTGCCTACAGATCAGATAGCTATATAGTAAAAAGCCATCTCTCTTAACAGGGTCAAGCTGGAATTGTTTTGTGTTAGTAATGCATATCATATCGTTAATTCAATGTCTATCCCTCAAGTTAAAAATATACAAGACATAATTGATCTAAGATATTGATGCACTAGAAAGAAGGTCTAAAACAATTATGAAGAGGCCAGGAAACTAGAAATGGTGAAACTTAATAATCAGAGGCTTAGAAATTATCTACAGTGTAGAAGCAGGGGAGACAATAAAAAATGAGGGAAGATTGAAATTTAACATTTGCTCAATGTTGTTTTACCATAGGCACCATCTGTCCCGTAAGCCTTACCGTCATGTCAGATTTCTCTATCGGTATTAACTTATTTTCATATACCTGATAGTTGAAATGAGATCTTCTTGGTTGTAAGAAGAAGAACTCATAATTCTATGTAGTAAGAAATGTGGTGGTTCAGGAACAATAACCCTTTCTTCCTTCTGGAAAGAAAAATGTAAACAGTGCATTCCATCAAATAAAGTATGATATGCACTTTCTCATCTATGGGCATATACAACTATTTTTAAATAGCTCAGTACTTATGTACTAAATTATAATATTGAACTTTAAAACAAATTTTAAGTATTCACTTAAAAGAATTGTTGAATATGATTTTCCATTCCTCACTTAAGAAAAAAATAAGATCATATTTTGTTGAGATATAAAGGAATGACAGAGATACAACCCTCATCAACTCAGAAGCATGCCAGGATCAATCATGCTAACACAAATTCAAATATATTTGTTGGTAGGTCATTTGTACTTTTAAGTAAAATTATGTCTTTCTTTTAGCATCAAATGGATAATCAAGAGAACCCTGATTTATTAGTAATTCTAAATTATGTATTCAACAAAATCATATGTATGATACAAAATTTTGGACAAGGATGAAGTTAAAGAATCACTGAGGACTAGATAATCATGTGAAGCTCTAAAAGCAGCCCCCAAAATTGTTTACCGTAAGGACAATGCTTAACAGATGATTTTAAGGATGAAGTTTAACATATTTTGATAATTAGTGAAATTTTTAAGTTGGCTAAAATCTGTTTAAGGAAAAAATTGGCTATTTTTTTGCACAGAAGTCAAATCAAGACAATCTAATTTAATATGCATTTTTTTTTCTTTCTTCCTGCAATGTTAGCTAGCCTTCAGGTTCTTTCCCACTGATATGAGGTTTTTCACATAAACATTTACAATGAGAATTTGCAAACCAGCATACAAAAAGGAGTGAATCAGCTGTTTTCCATTATTAGTTTGCATTTCTCTTAGCTAATTTCCTTTTTGTTTTTCCTTTGCATTTCTAGTTAAGCTAAATTTCTTCCCATTCTCTGCTTTCCCTTTAACTGAGTTTTATACTTTCTACTATATCACCAGGCTGAGGAGCTGAATGAATACATTGTAGTATTTCCTGCCTAATCAAGTAATATTCTTGAGCAAGATTTTTGAGTATGACTTTATCACTGATAGTCACATTTCTCACTTACCTTACTTTGTAATTTTTTCTCCCTAGGAGCGTTTGCTGCAGTCAAGATTTTTGTTGTGGCCACGTCAAGGTCACCAATAGCTTTTTTAACTTGTCTCTCATTGGAGTCTGTTCTCAGAGTTGAGATGGCTTCAGCATTTTCTATATTTGCACTGTATGTAGGATGACAGCATTTGCTGAGTGCTAAAAGCCTTTTCAGGCTACCTGCGCTTACTGCACTCTTTGGAGTAACAGCTTTGCTTGTTGTCGTCTTCATGGCGTCTTTGAGTTGAAGTTCACATAGTTCATGTGTGCATTCTTGTTGTCCAACAACCTCTCCTAAAACAATTTCATCTTCATCAGAAATGGTTTCTTCTAAGTTAGTTTCTGAATCTCCATGCTCAATATCGTGAGCCACTAAACGAGTGATAAGATCTCTTCTGCAGTGGACATCTTTCAATAGCTCTACCTTGGTTATATCAGGCTTTCTTATACTCTGAAATGAATTTCTACAAACAGGCTGAAACAAAAGGAACAGCAAATATTAAAAACAAATGCTTCTGGGCCCAGTGCAGTAGCCTGGTGGCTAAATTTTTGCCAAATTCTCCACTTCCCATCCAGCTTCCTGCTTGTGGCCTGGGAAAGCAGTAAAGAATGGTACAAAGCCTCAACTTGTGACCCTGCACCTGTGTGAGAGAGACTCAGAATAAACTCCTGGCTCCTGGCTTCTGGTTGGCTCAGCTCCAGCTATCCAGCCACTTTGGGAGTGAACCAGAAGGCACAAGATCTCTCTCTGTCTCTCCTTCTCTCTACATATCTGCCTTTCCAATAGAAATAAGTAGAATCTTTAAAAAAATCAAACAAAAAGCAAATGCTTTAATCACTTTTCCTGTAGTATTCTTATTATACAGTTATTGAATTACAATTTTAGTTTCAATTTAAGTAGTGTCTTCAGATGTCACTTATTGGTATATATATGTAATATTTTAAATAGATGAAAACATGAATATTTCTTGCCATATAAATTTTATTTAAACTGAATTCATATTATCCTATCTTACACCAAAAAGCAGAGGAAGGTCTAAACATTTTTTCTTAATTATTTTTTTTTTTGCAAAATAGCTGAATTAACTTCTATTTTAGTTGTTTATCCTGAAATTTTTGTGACAGAAGATATGTCCATTTATTTTTTTAAATCCTTGGTACATATCATAAACACATATAATTATACACAGGTCTATAATAAAAAGAAGGGAAGATATTGGCTACCTTGATTTGTAAAGATTATGAGTAGATAAAATTATTCTTTGGATTTTTACCTCTTATCCTTTCCACTACAGATCTTTTCAAGGTATTTTTCAATATATTTTAAAACATTCATTTCTACTTTTATTGTTAAAGAAATTGCAAATATAGCTGGGCAGAATTTTTCCATCCCCATTTGGCTACAACAGTCATACCTGAGCCGATCAGAAACCAGCAGTTTCTTTTAAAACTCTCATGTGGCTTCAGGGTCCCAAGGACTTGGGCCATCTTCCATTGCTTTTCCAGCCTACAAGCAGAGAGCTGGATGGGAAGTGGAGCAGCTGGGAAATGAACCAGCACCCATTATGAGATGCCAGCACTTGCAGGCAGAGGACTAGTCAGTTGATCCATAACATTGGTCCCACACTGAAATTTCTATAACTGCATCATTTTTTAAACAGCATGACTTTTCCTATCATTAAAAAAACAAGCATCTATTATGGAGTAAATACTCCTAATACTTTTTGTGAGTTATAAGTGACATAAGTAAGCTGAGCTGGTAAGAAGTGGTAATACTTGTTACAGATAATTCTCTAATTAGATAAAAGGTGATTTGAGATAATGTTATTATAATCCATTAAACAATTTTCAATTCCAGCAAATCACTTACTTGAGTTTATTTTACTTAAAGTACCATTGTGAGTGAAAACCGTTAGGTTTAATGCTACTGTAATGATGAGTCTGTATGAAAGAGATCAGCATCTCTTCCGAAAACTCTGGATCAATTAAGACTCAAGGCACCCCAGACCATGATAATCTCAATGTTTGAATTTGCTAAAAGAAACAGAAGTAACCTGGAGTCTTAAATTGGATGATTGAAAGTATCTTAGATGGCTATTTATTCTGACACTCTATTAAATGACCCCTTGGATTCCTTTAAATATCCAGTGGACAGTAAAAGGGATCAGAAAATTCTTTTGATTTTTTATACCACAATAATTTCAGAAATCTGGTGTTACTGGTAGGGACATGCCTTTATATTCCTAAAGAATTATAGGTCAAATTTATTCCTTAGGAAGATTAACTAGGGACCTTAAGCAGAAACTCTAATATGCAAAATCCAAGTAAACTGTATGATTGAATCAGTGGCCCAATGCAATAAATTCACCCATTGGTATGAGAAGGAGCAGTAAAAATGCATTCTAATGTTTCTATTTGAAAAATGAAATCACAGATTAATACAATTTTCTGTCATTGCCTTTGCACTTACCTCCAATGGTTTTACATCCAGACGTCCTATCATATTCAGTGAGATGCGTCTTTCTTTTTTTCTGTTTCCTAAAGCACAGGAGTCTAAGGAGCAGTAACTTCTCCCACTTAGTGATGCTTTTCTCAGTTCTGCAATGCTATGTCCAGTTCTTCTTAGGCACTCCATCTTGATTTTCTCAAGTGGTTGTGTTTTTACAGAAATGACAGCTAAGTGTTCTGAAATAATATTTGGATCTACTTTGATTGGCTTTCTACCAACATGTGGAATTATTTTAATTGGAAATTCCTCTTCATATGCATCATGATCTGACTCTTCTCTGTCTGAGTCAGGTGTCACTTTAATAACATGTTCTTGTGCCTTTTCAACAATCCTTTTAAGGTCTAGATCTCCAAAGAGATCAGATTCTGCACTTTTCTTGCTATCTGTACCTAATGGGGAATTTAAAACCTCTTCAATAATTAAACTAGCCACTTTGTCAGGGAGTAATGTTTTTGTATCTTTTATATCATTAATTTCTTTGTTGGTTCCAGAATATTGCAAGACATCACTGTAAACAGAGTTAACAACCTGGGAAACCATTTCTGTATTTTCTGCATTTGAAAGGGTGTTTTCAGGATTAGCAGCTACAAGACTAATATTACTTCTGGAAATTTCAGCAGTTACAGATTTTGTCAATTGAGAGGCAATTTTATTTAATTCAGGCTGTGATGCATTGCTTGTGTCTTTGCTTGAAGCATTTGGTGGCCTTACTAGTTTAGCCGACAACAAGGCCAGTATTTCCTCTAAAAATTTGCCGTCTAACACAGAAAATGCTTGAGATGAAGCTTTGTCTTGGAACTTAAATTCTTCAGTAATTTTCATTACTTTTTCCATAATTTTGACAGCTTCCAGAGCTAATTCTGTATTTGATACTTCTTCCTCTCCTTGAGGTTGAAATTCAGAATTGGAAATTTCTTTCACCATTAAAAACCCAATTATATCAGAGACAACCTTGCTGTTACCCAGTAAGTCTTTAAGTATAGAAGTATAAGAACCAGAGTGCTTTAAAATGTTGGTACAAACAGCATTAACTATTTTTTCAATGCCTGCATTTTCCGCTGGAGATACAGTAGATGATTCCTTGGCTGGCAGTACAAGTTTAATCTTACTTTTGGAGATAAATTCTTGTACTGAATTTAAGATTTTTGAGATTATTCTCTGCATTTCAGTTTCTAGAGGTTTTGTTTTTTCTTTCTGAACATTTGGAAGCACTGATAAAATCTTTGATAAAAATTTTACAGCAACTTCTTCTATAATGGTGTAAGACATTTTATGAGCATTTGGTGGTTGCGGTGGTGGGATATCAGTAGGTTGGATAACATCTTTAAGAATATTTTCAACAATACTATCAACATCTGCATATTGATATGGACTTAGCTCTCCACAAAAATACTTCTGCAGTTGATTGCCCGTTATTTCTTTTATAACTAAGTCAGCTATAGTTTCTGAAAGGATTCTGCATCCATTGGCCACACAATTTTGTATAATCTCTTGTGATCCAAACTGTGGCAAAAGATTATCATATATAGACTGAACTACTAACTGAATGATCTCTTCATCATTGGAATGTAACGATTCTACATATTGAATAGTCATGTCTTCATTTTTGGAGATCCCCATTGCAACTATACTTACTAACTTCATTTGAAGGAAATCCAATTCCATGAATGAATCACCCTCAGTAGCTTGTATTTTGGGGCTGTTATTGGATATTGTTGAGAAAATTTTGGATAAGAGAGCAGAAATCACATCATCTAAAAATTTATAGGGCAACATTATGGTATATGGTGATGACGTTTGACATTCCTTATTGGCTGTTTGGGTCACCTTTTGGACCTTTTTATAAACATCTCTTGATTCTAGAGGCCGGCATTCTGAAACTGGAACATCACAAGAAAACATGTTAAGCTGGTGCTGAAAAATTTCATTTATTACTGCACTAGTCAGCTTTTTGGCTAAATTTTCCCCATTAGAATTTATATTCTTACAGATAGAGTCTTGAGATCTATATTCCTTCAAAATGTTGCAAATAGATGAATGAACAACTTTATTGACCATTGTTTTATCGACTGAGAGCATTTCACTGAGCAAAGGCGCTTTAGCTGAAGAAAGTTGTTTATGCATATGTGGCATTTTTCCCACAGGTTTAGTTTTGATGCTGGGTAATGCTTCATCTTTACTTGATTCTTTGTAACTGGAAGGTACTTTAGGAACTGAAGAGATTTCATGTGCAGGTGGGAGAAATTGATTTTTTGTATCTGGCCTAAATACCTTAATGTGAGAATCTGAAAACTCTTTTAAAAGTGAATCAATAAGTTTCATAGCTGTGTCATAGAGTTCAGTTTGATCATCATCATCATCATCATGTAGGTTTGAATATTTATCACATGTTTGTGCTTCTGGTGAGGAGGAAAATACCAGTTTGTTAACCATTTCAATGACAACATCTTCTAAAAATGTAGCTGGAAAGACTTTAGGTTTACTGTTTGGTAAGTCCTGAGGATGATCTGGCTCACTGGATTCACTGCTTATCTCTTTCTCTCTTAATATCTGTTTCTTGGTCTCTCTCTTTTTTTCTTTCTCTGTATCTTTTTCTTTTTCCATTTCTTTCTCCTTTTTGCTTTCAGTTCCTTTCTCCTTCTCTCTCTCTTTCTGTTCCTTTTCTTTCCTTCTGGAAGGGATATTTTTGTTAACTGAAGCCGATAAATCTTTTGTTATAAGTGATGGTGTGGAGTCTTTGTTAAAGTCCTTTATTACATTCAATATTCTATCACCCTGGGAGGTCTTGCTGTGTCTGTATTTTGAAAAATGGGCTGATTCTTGAGAAGGTACTTCAAAAACATCATCATAGATGTTTTCTATGATGTTTTCGACATATTCATCATCTGAATGTTGTTCCTCATCCATATCTATTTGAGCTGAAGAGTCTCTCCTCTTCTCATTGCATGACCTTTGGGTTTTTTCCAAAGTTTTATCTGTGATAGTCCCTACATCTCTTTGCTTGGATTTCAAACAAAATAAATGAAAGGGCTTGTCATCTTTTTCAAATGAACTTTCTCCTGTACTCTCGATCTTTTTTTCAATTTCTATTTCAGTATCTGGCTCAAGCACTTCCTTCTTACATTCTGTATCAACAGATGAAGCTAAAATATGTCTGTGTGATTCATCCTCTAACGCCTTCTCAACTTTTGGAGATGATATGCTTTTCTCAATTCCACTTCTTTTAAGTGTCTCATTCAACTCTGACTCCTCAATATCTTTATGTTTCATATTGATAGTTGAAATAATTTTTGATGTATTGTCACTGTGCTTTTGCATAGAAATTCTCAATCTATTTTCACCCTCTCTCTTTTTATTTGCCACACATTCAGCTGACTTTGATCTCAAGTTAATCATATTGGCTTTCAAAACGGCAGTTACAGTGTTAGGTACTGGTTTTTGGATATCAATTTTTCTCATGGATGTATTCTTCGTTTTGACACTTTTTGTTTTATTCATTCTGTTTACTTGCAAAGTGTCCATTGTGGTTTTGTGATCTGAGCTTACAGAACTGTGTTTGGATGATTTTTCTGGCACAATAAGTTGGTTCCAACTTAAACACCTAGTTATTTGAGTAGTTTTTGGTGGTATTTTTTGAACCCTTTGGGTGATGTTTTCCGGATTTAGAAATGAAAAGAAAGTGGAAGACCAATCCCCTGAAAAAAGTGGTTGAATCTTAAATGCAGATATTGCCTTCTGGGCTAAAGTGGCAATCACTTCCACAACAAAATTATTGTTATCATTTTTAGGTATCTCATCAGATGAATATTTTCCAATGAACTGATCATATACAAAATTGGATATTTTATCAACTGCTTCTTTATCAATTGGTGGAAAAGGAAATATTTCTTCAGCATGGGGTAAAATTTTAATTTCATTCTTTGTAAATTCCCCTATCAAAGAGTTTGCAAACTTGATAGCCAAGCCCACAATATCAGGTTCTGACCTTTCTTTTTTCTTGGGATCTTCAATGACAGTTGGGACAGCACAAAATTTGTGCACAAGGTTAACAATTACATCTTCCAAAAATGTAGCTGAATATAGAGCAGGCTGCGCCTTTTCTTTACCAGATTTAGCAAGTACAGTTACATGATCAGGTAAGTCACTGGAAGATGATTCCTCATCATGTAAAAATGGTTTTAGATGATGATCCATTATTGCCTTCAGAATGAAACTGGCTATTTTACTGAGAAATGAGCCTTGTTTTTTGTCTTTGTCTGTATGTACTTCAGCTTGAAATTCAGAGTTTTTCAAAATATTACTACATATGGTGTCAGCAAAATTTTCAATAGCTTCTAATTGTATGCTTTCTGCATTCTCCTCTGCGGTGGCAAGTCGGATCTCATGTTCAGAAATTTCTTTTATAATTTCATCAGTCAGTTTTGAAGCTGCATCCACTGACTCATAATCTGATAAAACCTCTTCCTCTTTAAGTTCATTTTCTGTATTGGATGAAGGGAAGATATGCACCAAAAGTTTGTAAACCATATCTTCTAATAGAGAATGAGGCAGCACTGTAATGCATGATGGCAAGGCATAGCTATCTTTCATGATGATATTGAGCACATTTCTAATGATATTATCAGCTCGAAGTGAAGAATAGGAAGCTGACAGTAATTCTCCTGAAACTAATGACTGTACCTGATAATCATAAATTTCTTCCAGTAGCAAGTTATATATTTTCTTTCCAAAGGAATCAGTATCACTTTGAATAACCCTATATACTTGAATCAGAGATTTATATTCATCTAATATTTTTTCATAAATTATGTTTACTGTGTTTTGAACCATTTCTTTGTATCCTTCTGAAAAATATAAATTTTCATCAATGCTGTCTGCAACCAAAATCTCTGATGTGGTAAACTCCAGAACAATTGATTTGACTAAAGCAGTAACGATGTCAGTAATTCTGGCTTTTGCTCTGTCTAGGTTTTCAGCAGCTGAGACATTATTTGTGAATGCATAAAGGATTTTGCACAGAAGTTCAGAAATTACTTCTTCAAAAAAGACAGCAGAGTTCACAATGAGAGATAATTTTCTATGTTTAGGATTTAGTTCTTTCTGTTTATAAGTTCTATCAACCGGAGCTGAAAGGAGAGTTTTATCTCCAGTTAAAAATGACTGGAGATGATGGTTGAAAATTTCTTTTATTATAAGGCTTGCTATCTTTGACACAGGTATGTTACTTTTGCCCTTTTTACCTTTTGTAAGAGACTGGTACAAATTTGAGTAAGAAAGATCAGCATAAATGGAATCAATCATGGACTGCACATCTTTTTCTGAAAACATGTTTTGTTTTTCATTACCATGTTTTATAATACATATTGCATGCTTTGAAATTATTGACATTATTTCATTTATCAATTTTATAACTGTATTGTTTAAGTCTGATTGACAAGCATCTAAATCTTGTAAACTAGAGTCAAATGGACTCATCTGGGATATAAGCTGAGTGACTATTTTTTCCAAATGAGTATATGGTAACATGGTAGTATATATTGTTGAAGACTTTCCTCGCAATAGTGATTTACTAATAGCATGCTGAACTCTCTTAATCAAAACATTTGCATTGAGTTGGGAATATGACTTGCTAGGCAGATTTTCAATAATATCAGGATGAATTTGGAAGTCAAAAATTTCAGCGAGGATGACTTTAGTTATCTTTGCAGCCAATGTTATTGTGTCATATAGAAAATCTTCACCAGGCATTGTTCTCATTTCATATTCTTGTAAAACTTTGCTGTACACTGTGTCAATAATTTTTTTTACTACATCTTTCTCCACTGGAGGTAAATACAGTCGTCCTTCAGCACTATCTATAATACTAATTTTGGATTTTGAAAATTCATCTATTATCAAGTGAATAAGTTCTTCAACTTTATCGAACAGTTCATCTTCAGAGTGTCTTTCTAATTTTGTTTGTACAATGCCTATTGCCCTGTGGAATATTTTACTTAAGACTCCACAGACAATGTCTTCTAAAAATTCTGAGGAATAAGCATTAACATAAAATAATTGCCTTTGCTCATCGTCAAAATTTGTGTATGATGAAGAAGATAATGATTTTCCATCCAAAAATGGATGAAGATGTTTCTGACAGACATATTTAATGATAAAACCTGCAATTCTATCAATAAGAGCATCATTACTGCTTGAAATATTTTGCTTGGCTAACTCTTGAGAGCCAGAGTTTTGTGAAATATTGTCAAGTACTGAATTAACAAGATGCTGCACATCATCTTCTGAATAAGCAAACTTGGTTTCTTCTTCATCTTTTGAAAATCGAATTTCATGCTGGCAAATTTTCATTCTAATATCATTGATAAGGTTAGAAGCAATTTCATTGAAATTCACTTCTGATGCATCTTTTGGAGATTCTCTGTTTAAAACCATGTTAGATGCACAAGGAAACAGTCTACACAGTAGCACTCTGATCATGTCTTCTAAAAATGTGTATGGCAGCAAGGTGTTGTATGACGATGAAGTCTCGCTTGGTTTGGTAGGCTTGCTAATATTACTAATGACATCGTGATCAATAGTGTCTGTCATTGGGATGGGATGGGAAGAAGCTGACAAATCCCCAGAAAAGAATGGTTGAAGAAGGGAATCTGAAATATTTGCTACAACCAAATTGGCAATATTTTCCACCAAGACTTCACTATCTTTAAGCTCTTTTTCAGTGTCAGCACCTAAGCCAAGCTGCTTTAAAACATTTCCATAAACGGAGGTGACAAGTTCATCCACAGTATCTCTATTGATGGATGGGAAAGACTGTTCTCTGTAGTCACGCAGAGTGTGACTTTTGTTCTCGTCCAGATGGTTACTTATTAAGTTAACTATTTTCTGTGTCATTTCATCTAAGTCAACTTCAGTGCTATGCTTTGGGCTGAAAATTTTTGATAAAAGTCTGGTAACAATATTTCTTACAATTGTATCAGGGTGAGTATTAAAGTGTTGTTGCTTCTGGGGTCTGTGTGACTCTATGGCTTCACTGAGAATCTGTTTAACCATGTCAGATACAGAATCGAGTGGAGATCCTGGACGGGGTAAAATCTCTCCACCCAAAAACTGCTGAAGATGATTGTCAATGATCTCTTGGATAATAAAACTGGTAATTCTGTCCACCACAGCTGGGTTTCGGCTGATTATGCCTCTCTTTATTGAGTCAAGAGATTCAGAAATTTGCAAAATATTACTGTAAATGGAATTGACCATTGTTTCAAGGTTTTTTCCTTGGCACAGATACTGATTATCACATACAGTAAATCCAATTTTATGTTTTGAAATGGCTGATATAACCTTGTTTATTATGCATCTGGACATTTCATTAAAATCTGAACTCATTAAATAATTTTTTCCCATGGAGGAAGCCTTACTCAGGGCAGGAAAGAGCTGAAATAAAAGTCTCTTGATGGCATCTTCTAAAAATGACTGTGATAACATAGTGCTATATGTTGTTGAAGACCCAGGTTGGCAAATAAACTTTCTTAGATTGTTTTGAAGTTTCTGAAGTATAATGTCTGCTTTGAGAGAGTAGTATGAATGAAATGGGAGCTTTGCCCTGAAGTTGGATGGCAATTGGTAATCTAAAATCTCTAATAATATGTCATTAGTTATTTGTTCTACTACTGAGGTATTGTCATACATTGTATTATTACCACAGGTTATTTTCAATTCATATTGGTGTAGAACATCATAATAAATGGAGTCAACAATCTTCTTAACAATTTCTTTTTGCACAGGTGGGAAACATAGCTTTTCTTCAGCATTCCGTAGAACAGTAACTTGTGCATTATTTAACTCACTCACTATAATGTTGATGAATAATGTATTTGTTTCATTGAGTTGAGCCTCAGTGATACTTTTGTATTTGCTCCACAAAGTGGTAGAGAGATTAAAAAACAATTCTGAAATTATTTCCTCCAAAAATGTGGCTGAAAAGACACCAATGTTCATATCTCGGTGTAGCCTGTTGGTGAACGCGATTGCCTTCATTTCTTTTGCCTCTTGCCTTTTAAGAAAAGATGATTTGACTGTATATTGCTTGCTCAATGGTTCTTTTGCTTTGGAACAAATTGAAATGGGGTTTTCCAGGGATTTAGTCATATAATTACCATCATCACTCATGAATCCCAAAGAACTATTGCTTTGTCCTTGTCCTAAATCTGTTAATTCTGGTTTTGGTGATTTTGTGAAACTATACTGTGTTTCTCTTGTTCTACAGTTCAACTGCTTGTTTGTAAAAGGCAGATTGTCAGAAGCTTGTTGTAAGCTTTGGGATAGTTTGTCCATCAAGGATTTAACCAATCTATGGGAAATAGCAGTAAGCATGGTGTCTGACGACAACGAATTTTGATCCATTTCTGTCAGATTTTCTGAAAGATCTAACAGGGAATCTTGTTGAGATTGCTCACAACTTATTTTTTCCTTAAAAAAATCAAATTCACCATCTTCTAAACTTTGAAGTATTCTTGAAAGCTGACTTTCTTTTGTTGATGTTTCATCAGAAGAAGAACCACTATCAAGAAAAACAGTGCTAGTGCATTTTTCCAAAAGTGTTCTAATAAGTTTCTCACAGACAACATTGAGAAGAAAGACTAACTTTGGAGATAATCCCAGGTTACCTCTACTTTGGATGTCACTTTGATTGCTTTGATTATGTGTGGAAGAGCAAAATGCTTGTGCTAATTTACCAGGGTCCATAGCTCCATATGGGCATTCATCTGGCATAAATAAATCTAAAACAATATCAAAAACTTTACTGACTACTTCTTTGGATTCTTGAGTTGTTAGACTACCAGCTAGGTGGTCTAACTTTTGTGCAAGATAATTTAATTTATTTTTTTGAATGAGCTGGTCAACTTGGTGGGTTGATGATTCAGAATCTATGGAGTCTATCAGTCTTTCTACCGTATTTGTTTTGCTGCAAGTAGACATACTATTGCTTCTAAGTGAGGAAAGTGATTGGTTTGTTCCACTGCTTTCAAAGTGATGATTTATTCCTATTTCTTTGGATAGAACATGAATCACTCCTATTAAGAGGTCTTGAAAAAGATTGTCAAAGTCAGCAGAAGCTACTCCTGAACAGTAAATATATTTTGTTTTTATGGAAATAACTTGTTGTGCAATGTCAGCTTCTATAATGTTACCATTAAAAAGGATTTCAATAACTATTTCAGAAATGCTTAAAGCAAGTTCTCCAATAGAAATTGACCTGCTCCCAAATATCTGAGAATGAATTGAAATAATCTTGTTGAGCGCTGCATCTTGCATTTCCCATATTTTCTCTTTCTCTTTATCCTTTTTAGTGTCACCAGAAATGCTGGAAGCTAGATGGTAAATTACTGACTTGGTGAGATGTTCACAAAATTGATGAATTGAAGAATGACGATATATGCTTCTTTGAGGCTGTTTCTGTTCATATTTTTTCAATGATAGTGTAGAAACAATAGACACCATCTCCTCTGTGGAAACTTTAAAAAAAAAGGAAAATTTTTAGCATTCATTAAGGGAAATTTGTAAAATTCAATATAATTTATTCAATATAAAAATTCAATATAAGTTATTATTTACTTATGTGTTTCTGCTTTTAGTGCATTTCCACATATTAAAATAAAAACTCTAGTGAAGAAAGCAATTAAATGTTCCTCAAAAACTTATTTTCTGCTTATAAAATCTTAACTTTAGGCCAGAAGGTGAGGAAAAAATATGCCCAAAGAACTCAAAATGCTCAGTTAAATGTTTTGGTTAAGGATTCTTAAGAAACAAGAAAGCCTAGAACATCCTATCAACTCCAATGAAGGAAAGCCCTGGAAATGCCAAAATATATACAACATTGTTGACAGATAAAAGGTAATTACAAATAAGCTGGGAGGTCCTACATGGTAGCCTAGTGGCTAAAGTTCTTGCCTTGTATGCACAAAGATCCCATGTGGGTGCCGGTTCATGTCCTGTCTACTCCACTTCCCTTCCAGTACCCTGTTATGGCCTGAAAAAGCAGTCAAGGCTGGACCAATGCTTTAGAACCCTGCACCCGTGTGGGAGACCCGAAAGAAGCTCCTGGCTCCTGAGTTTGGATCAGTGCAGCTCAAGCCATTGCAGCCACTTGGAAAGTGAACCAGTGGATGGAAGATTGTTCTATCTGCTTCTCTCTAAATTTGACTTTCCAACAAAAATATGTAAATCATTAGAAACAAAACAAATATGCTGGAAACATAGAGATTCTCTTGTTGTTCTAATTTTAATGAGGTCATGCTTGATGAATTCTACTTGTGATGTTGTAATTAGTTGATGATTCATTGTAGTCAACTTGAGAAACTACTGATTTTAAGGATATCAAATAATTACCTATTGTAGATGGGTAGTGTTGCTACTATATCACCTATGTGAATGATGGGCAAGGAATGGATCTGGACTAATATTACAGCAACTAAATACTGGTAACTATTGATTCAGCTTAAGGTTATTATAGTATCATTAGATAAAACTTCACTAATTGCCAAAGCAATAATTTTCATACAAAATAACATATCAACCAAATGTGTGTGCATAGAGCCATATTCTTAGAATACAAACAACAAATGTTGCATATTTAAGGTAGGTTGGCATTGTATACCTAAAAGGGAATCAAGTAAGAATACTGAAATGCAAACAGGTTGTTAATTCTACTGCTGTCATTACTGGTAATAATAATTTCCATGGATGCAAGCAAACATTTTAAAAAGTAGTAGAATAACTACAGATTAGCTGTATATGCCATATAATCATAAATAAGTCAGGTGTAAAATTAAAATTTCTTGGGAATCCATGCCTCATGTGGTCAAACACAATCCCATTCTAAGATTATCTCATTTTCACTTTCAAGCTAAGCAAATATTTTACATTTTAGCTTTTTTTTTTTTTTTTTTTTTTTTTTTTCTTTTTTTTTACATTTACAGGCAATTAAATCGTTATTTCTACAAAGCTATTTTCAGGGAAAATAGCAAATCTGTTTCTTGGTTTTTTTGTTTGTTTTTATCTATAATTTCACTTACTTCTATAAATAAGTTATCTATTACTTACCTCTAGTTTCAAAGTTTTTGAAGTGTGTGATGACTGATGTGGTGACATGTCTTGCTACCAAATGAATTTCATTAGGACCTAGTTCATGATCAGCGAAAGAAATGGCTTCAATTTCTTTTAAGGTCTCTATTTTTGTTGTATACTGGCTATTTTGCCATTTTTGCAATAAAGGAAAATCTGTGCTGGATTCAAGATTGCTGCTTTCTTTTTTAAGCATAAAATTTATTCTTTTACTCCAAATTCTAAGTAGACTTGTCTCTTCATTCTTTTGCCCACCAGATATTTCAGTCAAAGGACTTTGCTTTGATATAAAAAATGGCTTAATTGTTTCCATGCTTCCATTGGGGTGCAATTGGCTTGGAAAGTCATAGTTTGACAACACAGTATTAACAATATTTTCTGCAGCTAAACATATTTTGAGTGGAGAAACTGTTGTTTGAATTTGATTTGACTCCACCAATGGTTTTGGAGTCTCAAAATAAAATACTCTGGGATTTTCACCTTTTCCCCCTTCTATGAATGACATGACCTGCTTAAATGCTGCTTCTGTTGAGTCGTTTGCTTTCCTTGATAGTCTTGTTAAGACACTATCTTCTGAGAATGAACTGTTTTTCTTCACCACCTCATCAAAATGACTAAATTTAATTTTTTTTGGCCTTGGGCTTTGTATTTTATTTCTAAAGCATGATGTCATAATTTTTGAATTTGGCCCTTCCGTTGGATTTGAGCTTTGGTATTTACCTTCCACAGCAGAACTCGCATGGGAGAACAGATCTGATGGAACCTTGAATTTGTGTTTTATATTTTCCTCTGAATGAAGCAAGTGGCCTGGGATTCTCCTTTGCGGAGAATTATTTCCCAAACTGGTTTCTTTTGTCTTTGATTTGGAAATTTTCATGTTAGTTGCTAACTCTGTGTGATTGACAATGTAAGTTTTTTCTGACCCTTGAAACAGACCTTCCTTTGGAAGGTTTTTGATCAGAGATTCATGGAAATTAGCACACTGGTCCATTAGTGTGCCAATGATCTCACTTGCTACAGTGTTCTCTTTCAAAACACTACTTGAAGATGGTTCCATTTGGCTTATTTCTTTGTCTAGCTTGTTCTTAATTGTATCCAGCATGTCACTGACAATAGCAACTGCATATGTAAGCAATTCTGAATGGAATGAATGAACCTCTAGCAGGGTATTCTGAATGTTTTCTTTGGAAATAGGAGTGTTTGACGTGGATTCAGCAGAAGACCTTTTTAATGGTTGTAATTTTGGCAACATCTTTTTACTTAATAATCGCTGGTGGACAGGAAAAAGGGTTTCTATTGGCATTTTCACTATTTCAGAGAACTCATATTTAGAGATATGCTTAAATTGCAAGTCTACAAATGACTCTAAAATATCTAAAACCCTTTGTACAATCTCTCGAACAATTTGGTTGCTAGAGTCCATAGACATTTGATCTTTTGTCTTCATATTATACGTTGATAAGTTGCTGAGCATGTGCTTGGCTGGAAAGCTGTGTTGACTGGCAGCAGTAATGTGCTCTTTCCTATTTGGTAGAGTTTCTTTACTATCCACACTAGGCATCTGGGACAAAAAACACAACTGCAATTTTTCAAATAGCATTTCAACAATTTCCCTTCCAAACATATTAATTTGTGCTTTGGCATCCTCAGCTCTAGAATAAACTCCACTATGATGAGTATAGAACCTACTCTCACGATCTTCAAAATGTGGCAAATTTAAAAGTGAAAGCGAATACTCTAAATCTTTTGCCTTTATTGAAATTTCAGTCAAAACATTTTCAGCTATCATCAATAGCTTATATTTGTCACTCTCCTTGTCATTTGATTCTGTTTGCCATTTGTCAAACATCTGTTTAAATATGCCATCTTTAGGAAAAATCTGTTCTAGCTGTGAAGAAACATTTTCCAAATAAAAACAGGATTGTTGTTCGGCAAGTGACCCTGCACTCGGGATCCCCTGGGAAAGTTTGAGATGATCCAAATATGACAATTTGGTTGAATGACTCAAATTGTGGTTATTTGAAGCATGTAGTTCCTGCAAAATTGTACTCACTATTTTACTCGCTTCCAGAATATGATCAGAGTGTAAAGCTGTTATATTTTCCATTCCTTTAGTCTGTTTCACCTTTTCAAATTCTTTCACAATTTTTTCTAGAATACTGATGGTAATATCCTTAGCATATATTTTTAGTTCTGAAGTGGGCAGTTTTGCTTTGAGTAAATTTTTGGCATCTGCTATTGATACACTGTATGGTTGATCAACGGCAACACTGGACCAATTGCCTTTGGGGATCTTCTCTCCAGGACTTAACCTGTTCTTGCTTTTTACTTTACTACCACTAGGTCCAAGGTTTTGCTTAGTTCTACATTTAGGCAATGAAGTGATTTTTGACCTTGGTTTTAAACCCATTTTCAAACTTGGCTTTGGGCTGCCCTTAGAGGTGACTTTAGAATTACGTAATCTTGGAAGCTGCAACTCATCCAAACCTTCTTCAGAGGATAAACTCTCTTCTAGATGGAGGAACAAAAAATTTGTGATTTTACTGAGAACCATTTGTACTAAATCTTTCCCTACTTGTAATGGTGAATATTGCCAAAAAGTGTTTCCAAACACAGAAAACCTTTGGTTCTCTGCTAAAGGATAAACTGGTGTTACCACATATCTGGGAGAGTTACTTGTTTTCCCTGATTGTTTAGTTTCTCTGAAAGAAGACAGTTTCGAGGTATCACTGCTCTCGGATGCTTCTGTTTGTCCTCTTTTAGTATTTCCACTTAATAATGTCACAACTAAAGAGTATATTTTCTCTAAAACACTCTCAACGATGTCCTTTGCTTCACTATGGAAATGGTTTTTATGTGTTATATCTGTCTCAATTTTAGAATTAAAACAGGGGATTTCATTAAATGGCGGTAAATGACCTATAACTTGTATTACTCTTTGATCTAACTTTTTCAAAATTTCTTCCACTGCACTAAGCAGTTCAGTTTTTTCTTTTTGTTTCAATTCTCTTTTTTTCATAAATATGTCTTCCAAAATAATTTTCCGGCTTTCTTTTTCTAATGTTATTTGTTTCTGTTCTAGTGGATACTCTGTAAACAGAGATAACTTGGTGTTTTTTTCTTTCTCTTTGTCTCCCAGGAATATATTATTTGCAGACCTATTATCATACAAAATCTTTAAGATACTGTTGACAATTTCACTCACAATGATGGTTTCCTGGATGGAAATATTGTTAGAGTATGAATGCATTTTTTGGAATTCTAAGTCTATGTCATTTTTAATAAGTTTCAAAGTAGTACTGGCAATGAACTCTGCACCTTCTATAAGACTCATTTGTGATAAATTAATTGTATATCCATTCTTTTCTCTGTAACTAGCAAAAGAAGAATGTGTAAGCTTTTGACTGAGATCAGGTTCAGTTGATACTTTCAGTACATTTACATCAGATTCCATTTGGCTTGATTCATCCAAACTGCAACCATCCTGTTTGTGAATTTCCAATTCTGGGATGACAGTGGATCTTATCTTATTCCGGAAAGCAAGAGTCATTATTGAATCCATTCTTTCTGCCATAAAGGCTTCTAACCTACTGGAAATAGTCTTAGTAATGGAGTTAGCATTTTCCTCACATGGGTTGAGGAATTTCTTGGTTTCTTCATTCTCCCCTTCAGTTGTCTGGTTATCATCAGCACAAGCTGATTTCTGATTTTGTGAATGTGGAATATGTTCTCTTTCCAATTCATTTTTTGGCCCCATAATTGGAAATGTATCATAAGTAGTCACATGCGATCTTGCAGAAGTAGCAAGTATTGCATTCATGCGAAGCATAACAGCAGAACTAAGATTCTGAAGAATAATATTGACAATATCATTAGCTAGCAAAATGACATCTGACTTAGAAAGTGAAAGCTTAGGAATAATCTTTGCATCTTCAATGAACATTTCAGAATTTGTTTCCGAATGTTCATCAGTCATGCCAGATTTCATAGTAGATGCAGGAAATGAGATATTATTATAATACAGTGTTTTTTCATAAATGTCATTTATTATGTCTTGAATAGTATCTTGAATTTGAGTCTGTAGTGTTTTTTGATATTCAGGCTTATTGAACAGGGTTTTAAAAATACTTCCTTGCTGATCTGAATCATTCTGTTTGTTAGAATTGTTTTTGTTATATTTGCTTTTACATGACACAATAGTCAACATGGAGTTAACAACCTGACTTGCAATACTTTCTGGGGCCACAACATTATGTGTTAAGGAAGGACTTCCCCTTTCTCTATCTAACTCATGTTTGATTCCTTGTAAAATCTTTCTAGCCACTTCTGTTGCATATGTATTCAATTTTGACATAGGTAATTGGCACAATGAGTTGGTCTTTCCTGATTTAATATGATCCACTGAGCCACAGGAAAGTTGTTCATCATAGTGTGAGTCTTCAGATGATAATGATTTGCTAAATGTACTCTTACTTTGCTGACTAGATAAAGCTACTGGAGCTATGGTGCTGGCTTGGGGAGAAAATAGAGATTCTATTTTGGAAGTAGCAAAAGTTTCCAAATTTGTCAATATTTCCTGTGTAATGTCTTCAATTATACTCATTTTAATTTGTTTGTCAACACTGAATCTTGTTTGAAGCATAGATGGGTTTCTGTCCAACAAAGTAACAGAAGAGTTTCCTCCATAGGTGTGCTTTTGAAACGAGACATTTGCTGAAAACGTAATGGTTTTATACCTGTTTTCTCTCACATTTGTTTCTGTCATTACAGCTAAATAAAGTTTATGAAAAACAGTCTTAACCACATCATTTGCCACTGTGGTAACATCTGTGTCAGACACTAAAGGATCTGTTGTGCTATCTACAAATTGAACAGATGTATGAGCAATTGGCTCAAAAACATTGTGAGGCATGCCTTGCACATTTAATTGATTGGTAAAAGCAGTTTGAAAAATTTCATTCAAGATACTTTTAATAATGGGAGCAATTGGAGATTTACATGCTTCCTTAAGCTTCACTTCAACTTTATTTAAGGTTCTTTGTAGAATCTGTTGCTTAAGAGCATGGGAGTTAGCTTCTTCTCTTACTAATGTGCTCTCTCTAGTGAATTCGTTCATTGTTTCTGTATCATCATCTAGAAGTGAATCTGATTCAGCTCCTCCAGGAAGATTTCCATAAGATGGCTTGTATCGGTATGTTTTAATGTCTTCTTCCTCAGGTTCAGTTTCACTAAATATATCTGAGGAGACTGCATCTGAAATTAAATTGACTATATTTTTAAGCATTTGTGTCTCAGGTGGTGAGGTTTTTACACTTGTCTTCAACTCTGAAGGGTTCATATTTAATTCTGTTTGAATTGCCTTCAAAATAGTACTTGAGACCTTCTTGGCTTGCATGTATAGAACGGAATGCAATGGTTCTTCATGTGTATCTGTGAAAACACTATGGCTTTCACATTTCCAATCCATATTACTGCTGTTTTTATTTTTATCTTTAATAACACCCAGAGTTTCTAAATTTCCATTTGCAAATACTTCTAGTTTAGCAAAAACCGTATTAAGAATATCTGATGCTATAACTTTCAATTTGTTTGTCTGTGTTTCTTCTGTGCTCCCCACTTTGGAAAACATGGGAGAAACAGTTTGTTCCTTGATTTTAGTTACCTCATTATTATCCCCCTGGATCATTCTGGAAATTATGCTGGTGCATTTGGTCACCTGTTCAATAATTGATTCAAATGATAAACTGTCAATATTAAGAGACTCTGAGACAGCTTTACATTCAGAATTTCCCAAACTGGTATCCATGTCAAAATCACATAATTTTGCAAGGACATATTCCAAAATTGTTTTGGAAATGCGCTGTATGTTAGATTGCATTGAAGCAGCCATTTGCTGATCACTGTTTGTCTTCTCTGTAGTTTGCAGACTACCACATGGCTGACAGTGAGGGTGGGCTTGTGGGAGTTTGCCTATCATTTCATGCACTGTCTCTCCAATTCTATCTAACACTTGCAATTTGACTTTCTTTTTGAGATCTTTTGTATCACTGACACTGTGCAGAGTACATGGGTTGGCCAAAGATTTGCGAAATGAATTCTGACTAGTTGAAAAAATGTGTTGCTTATCAGCATTATCACATTCATCTGAGGCTTCAGACCTTGCTTTTGCTGAAGGGAGTAAAACATTTCCTTGTCTTTCATTTCCACTTAATAAAATCTCACAAATTAAAGTTAATAAAGGGCTCCCCATAACATCATCACTAGGATTTATGACAAGAGATCCAAATTTCTTTTCAGCATTAACAAAAAATCCTTTACTTGGAAGGATTCTGGCATGGTCTGCCTTCTTAATACATAAGTCTTTTTTGTTGTGTTCCAATTCATTCTGGATAGCACGTAAAACAATGTGTACTACTTTTGCTGTGTAAGTGCTGAGATGAGACTGTAATGAAAAGTGCTTAACAAGTAAAGGCTTCGACCTGATTCGCAATTTGGGACAAATAAATGCCTTCAGCCTTTTAAAAACTGTATTAATGATTTTATGAATAATGTCATCTACAGGTTTAGGATCATTTTCTCCAGACTTTAGCCAAGAAGGTCTTACAGGATCTACATTGATTGAAGATAAATATTTCATTTTCTTGTCACTGTCAAACCATATTTTTAATGGCTTTTTATTTGGCATGTCTTTGATTGTGTGGGAAGTATCAAAATCATCCTGAAGAGGATCAAATTTAGTCTGAAGAGTTAATGATGAAACAGAGTATTTAGCAGTATTGTTAATATAGTGTGATGCCTTATGAAGTATATTTATCACTGTATCTGTTATTTCCTGAGACAGTGAACTAATTTCTGACACAGAGAACATCTGGTCCATCTGTTCCTGATGTGATGATTCCTGAGGTTTTTCTGAAACAAGAACTGAAGTGTCTTTGCTGCTTTTGCAGTCTACCTGTCCAGGAGGAATGCAAGATATCTCCTTGAACATTTCTGCTAAAATATCTTTAACTATGGTTTCTGAAGCCATTTGTATCTGCTGCTTTTGTTGTTGGCTGAAAATTGAAGTGTCTTTATGCAAGCATTTTTTCTTTAAAATGCTTTCATTAATAAGAGGTGGTAGCTCGGTCTTTAATCCCCAATCATGCAATGCAGCTTTGCTTTGAGAAGGTGGCTTACTAGACAATCTAGTGCCATTTTTGTTTTCAAAACAAGTGTTTTCCTTCGTAAACCAATGATCAGATGTATTTTCTTGAGATTTTTCTTTTTCATCTCTGACAGATGAATCCAGAACAGTATTCACAATTTTGTTTATTTCTTCATTATCATCTTCAGAATAAACTACCATACCTGGAACATTAACAGGTGGAAATGACCTTCTAGACCTGGGACTATTTGATAATCTAGTGCCAGCAAGCCTATATTTTTCTTCAATGTCAGCATTCCTCTCAGGCTGTTTACTTTTTTGATCATCAGCTTGTACTGGTTCTTCATGGAGCTTAGAGAAGATACCATCAAGTATCTGAAGGAGTGCTACTGTGTCTTCAGATGCGATTAGCCGCTCATTGTTGAGTTCAGCTTGGACATAACCTAATATAACACTGACTGCTTCCTTTATATGACCCACCAAAGATGACTGAGAAAAAACATGTGACATTAAACCTTGTACTTCCTCTTTCAGAATTAAATTATCCGTGTCAAGTTGGGGACTACATTTATGGCTGTTATCTGGTTGGGACATCATATATGGTGAATCTCTCTTACTTTGCTGATTGGAAAGTTCATTTGTATCTTCAAAGTGAGTAATTTCATTTTGCTTGCTATATGTGAGGCACATCAGCCTTTCTAAAATGGTTTGTACCATATCTTCTGCAATGTCATTCATGGGTTCCAAAGTACAAGGCAGAGAAGCTTCGGATGGCTTTCCATTTGATAACATAAAATATTCCCCACTATCTGTTAATACTGGTGAAATGTTGATAGACAAGTCTTCTTGTGAAAATATCTCAACATACTTTTTTTCAACTGCAAACTCTAGCTTCTCAAGCATACTTTCTACAATGTCAGAAGCTACTGAGCAGATATCAACATTAGAAATCAAGTCTTCTTTATCAGACTCATTTTGGTCAACAAAAACTTCAGCAGTAACAGAAGAAAGAGATGGAATCGCTTGGGTTAAATCAGACATTATTTCTTGAAAAATACTTCCTAAAATCAATTCAGTTTCCCCCTTCAAGTGGCATTTAAAGTCAACAAAAACGTTCTTCAAGTTCTTCATCTCATTTGCAGCTTTTGTTTTATAATCATTAAACAATGGGCTCACTAAGCTGTCTGTTTCAGTGGTAGCATCTTTAGAAGTTTTTGTACTTGTTTCAAATGAAAGCAAAAGGTGACTATCAGATTTACAACTTCTGAGCTTTGGGCAAAAATATACCAAGTTGGATTTGTTATAGTTGAGTTCAGATGTTAAAGATGGTGCTGCCATGTGGTAGGTTGTCCCTACAACTCTTCTTTCCACGTGGGCAGGAGGAGGTTTGAAAGCTGTGGTTGGTCTCCTTACTGACATGTCAACTTCAAATGTGCAAGGCTCTGTCTGAAATGTTTTAGTTGTTGCAGATGTGTAGTTTCCATATGTAAACTCTTCACTGCAGGTGCTGCAGAAGCTTGAACTATCCGAAGAGAGGACTGAATCATCAGAAACAGGGTATGTAATATTTTGTAACCTTTCTTCATACTTTGTAATTGCTGGGTATAATATGCTGGTCACTGTAGCCACAACCCAGGTCATTATATTCTGAATTATACTATACAGCTCTTCAGAAGTTACCTGAGAAGAGTATGGTGAAAAGAAAATCATGCAAAGTATTATTTCCTGTCCTGAAGGTGGATGTTAACATTTGCATTTTTATACCAAATGCTGCATAGGTAGAAAACTATCAAGGTTCACGAAGGAAACATGGTAAAAGAACATGATTAACTATGTAGCACCTTCATTTCCTGACCCAATTTGAGAGAAGGCCATTTAATTCAACTCAAATCTCCTAAACTCCATATATATATTTTTTCACTTACTGCACAAACAATAGTTAAAGCTTTGAAAAAATATTTTGGAATGGTAGCAGAGGTTATAAAATATGTATTTGTTTTACATGAATAACATTTAAATATCTAAGAATAAAACTTTTAACAGAGAAGATAACTATCCTTAATCAAAATATATAAAATATAATCCAATATATATTATATATATGTATATATACATACAGTTATTTGGATTATATTTTATATATAATATATATGTGTATACACAGTATTACATAATATATGTATATGTACATATATCGTTGTTTGGGTTATACTTTATATATATATTATATATATAATTACTCTTAGCTCTGGTGTGATAGGAAGACTTTTCAACTTCAATATGTGAAAGAGAGATATTCCTAAATTGCTCTGCATAGTGAAATAATGAAAAATAGTATCTTGTATATCAACTACTTTATGTTACAATACTGATCAGAGAAATATTCTCTTTAGTTATGATTTTTGTATTTAATCCATATTGCACAAGTTAAGCAAATACCCATCACGTGAAATAATGTGTCAGAGTATGTGCAGTTTCCAGACTTTGCTGCATCCTGACTGATCTGCCTGGATTCGGAGTTGAGTCTTATGTAAACATTACATTCTATCTCAGGCTTTTGTAAGCCCAGCTCATAGGTGACTAGTTACCTTGTTCCGTGATCTTAATAAATCACTATGTCACTTTCCATAAAAACACTAGAGAAACATCCATACATCTTGGACTGTTATACGTCTTTTCAGGAATATCCACCACCCTGTTGACCAACTGCTTTCCTGTACAGAATAGGGTTTTGGTGCATGGTGATGTTTTTACAATAGATAGATCCTTAAATGATTCCCCTATTCTGTCCCATTCCTAAGACCCTCTCCTTGAAGCATCAACATTTTTTTAAGACGAAATCTTTGTAAAAAAAAAAAAACCTAAAAATTATCTGGAAGTAAACTAGAAAAGAGAAAAGGAATACAAGCAAGATATGCCTATCAAAATCATGTAAGCAGAACCTTTAGAACATACTCCATATTGGGCACCTTGGGTTGATATCAGGTAAACATTCCCCATCCCTTCGTATTGGGGTGGTGGGAGGTTGGGTGTGGCTTCTCTCCTTATCTCCCTCCTTCCCCCAGATGCAAGCAGAAGAAAAGGAAAAATTGGAAACAGTGGTCCTACCCACTTTCTCCTAACCCTCAGTCCCTTCCATCTAAATCAACCATGTAAGCATCATTAAAATTAAACAGCAAGAAATGCACATATTAATAATTTAAAGTCATCTGATTCTCAAGATCTTTTTCTTCTTTAAGATATATCAAAAGTATCATGAATATGTGTTTTTAGGATACATACTTTTTCTTGCAAGCAATTTTGCAGGAGATTCTGCTGTCTGTAAAGTCAGAAAGATTGCTCTCTGTTATTTCAAGGCTTTAAGAAGGTTTACCCAAAAGTTTTAGTCACTGAGTCAGTTTCTTCTACATAGGGGTTTTTTGGTAGATATTCAAATGGAAAAATATATTTTAACTTTTTGATCAACCTTTCTTCCTATTTAATCTCCTTCACAGGTATTGATGCCTGGATTTAGAATATGTTCCAGTATCCAGAGGAGTAAATTGTACAATTTATCCATCTGGTCATAGTACTTGGAACTTTTACCCTTAACATCTGTGCTTTATTGGGAAAAGAAAACAGGATTGGGAGGGAGGCTGCATGTCCTTTCTCTTTTGAAAAGCATGATGGGTGTAATAAGATATCTGATCGGATCCTTCTGAAAACTTTAATTATTATATTAAATCCCATAGTTCCACCATTGTTTGCTCATTTGCCAGAGGAGTAAAAAGACATAATGGTTATTCAATAATGATGTATTAGTGTCATGCATTTCTAGGTACTTTCAACACTGACTTAGATATTTTATGTGACATTTTCTATCCTGTCTTTTAGATTTATATTCACACACTAATGAAATAAAAGCACAAAGAATTGTAACATAACTCAAAGACTGAAACTACAATCCTATTTTCAATCTTTTTTTTTTTTCCAGCATGAGCTATTTCTTTAACTACTTCCTACATTCTTAAAGGAATATTAGTGAAGTAGTAAGGCAAAAGGGCAAAATCAGATCCTGGAAAGGTACCTGGGAAGGGAGGGCACTGTGGGGAAATCCTGGGAAGTACTATGGAGATCCTGCAACATGGTGAGTGCAGAAGGGCAACAAGTCAAAGGAGACGTCTCACATTTTGTTTAAAATCTGGACTTATAAGTGGCAAATAAGAGGACAGTAAGTGGTAAAGTTTCAATAATTTCAGGTAGAATTTCAATAAATGAGGATTCCATTTAATCATTTTCTTGTGAACAACACTCTTTACAATCATTAAAATATCAATTTATGACTAATCATGAACTTTTTAAAATACTTACGTGTTTGAGTACCCTGGATTAGGAAAAATACTTGCAGCTGTATCACGAGTCTGAGGTCCTAATTGTCAGAAAAAGAAAATTATGACTTGCATCTGTCATCAGCAGCTTGTGAAATTTTAAAAATTTCTTCAGTAGGACATCACTCTTACTGAATTGCTTTATATTTAATTAATTTTTGGGATCTCTCCATAGTGGAATTTAAAATCTCAAGCATACCACAAAATGTACTACAAGATCTCATGTCCTTGTCTTGCTACTCAAAGTCTTCTGTAGTTGGTGTATCATATGTATTTTGTGGCTTAGACCCAGTATAATGCTATTACCTAAATATTTTGTGTTTTCCTGCCATTTATGTTTTCTAGTGATTTTCTTTTGAACCTCTTTCCTTGGCATCCTTTAACCTCTCACTTTTTAAATCTCATTCAGCTTGTATGAAATCCTCTGGAAAGCTTTCTTTGAAATGCACCTAAAAAATTAGCTTCCTTCTCTAGTATTCCAAAAGCACCTTAACATGCTCTTCATTATACAACTTCATTATTCTTCACTGTACTTTCATGTTTACTTACTCTTTTCTATCCCTATGATATGATCTTTGTCACTATATATTCAGCACTTGGCATAGTATTCAGTTGCATTTTTAGATGACATTAATAGATCCATGTGATTCTGTAGTATGTATTAAATGATATGTCTGCATTTATCGCTTTCCACTTAAGAATTATTTAACATTTTTATATATAATAAAATAAGACTGTAATGCTGGTTTGGATAAGATTCTGGATACTGAAGGAATTCAAAGGTCTTGGGCAAAACAACTCTGCTAGTCCAGTGGATTATTTCTTGCTAATCATAAAAATTAACAAAAGAATTAAAACTAGAGTTTTCTGCTTACATAAATAATGCTAATAAGTACAGTCAATTCAAAATCAGACTTGGCCAATTGCTTCTCAGTGTCAAAATGTTATCAATAGACAACAATGATGCACAGAAAATGTTAATTCTATGAACTCTATTGTTTATATAGAACCGTTTTCTCAAGGAAGGCAGTGAAATTAAGAGTGCACTGATCTGAAAATTAAGTATTAAGTTAACACTACTTTTTAAAAAAAATCATTATATTTTCCTGAAAGGCAGAGCAACACAAGTCTACCATCCTCTGGATCCTTCTCCAAACAGTTTCAACAGGTGATGACACTGTTTCAGGTCAAAATACGGAACCTAGAACACAAAGGGGTTCTCTACCTGGGGATTAGGCACCCTACTAGCTCATTCTTCATCTGTTGCCTCTAAGAGTATGCCTTGGAAAGGAAACAATTAACAAAGTAAAAAAGCACCCCACAGAATGGGAGATCTTTGCACATTACATAGGTGATAGGGGGCTAATCTCCACAATATACAAAGATCTCCAGAACAACCAAAACACCAAAACAAACAAGCCACTCAAAAATGGGCACAGGAAATGGGCAGACATTTCACAAAAGAACAAAACCAAATGGCAAACAAACATATGAAAAAATGCTCAAGTTCCCTGGCAATAAGGGAAATCCAAATGAAGACATCAGTGAGGTACCACCTCATGCCAGCAAGAATGGCACATGTAAAAAACCACCAACAACACTTGCTAGCAAGTATGTGGGGGAAAGGGAACCCTACTCCATTGTTGGTGGGACTGCAAATTGGTAGACCCTCTATAAAAATCAGTATGGGGAACACTCAAACAACTGAAAATCTGCATACCATTCCTGGTGTCCGTGCAGTAGGTGTTAATGACACGAAGGTGTGAAGAGAACAGCTCCCCTGCTTGGCAGGGCCTGGGGGAGCTTACAGCTGTTTGGCAGGGCCCGGCGGATTTCTCTCTGACCACCTTGATGCAGTCTCACCCCCTGTTTGCATGGACACTCAACCACCCCACTAAGAATTCTGCAATCTATTAGGCATAGTTTGCCCCTGTGAGATGGCTTTTACAACCAACATGAGCTTAAAAGTTAATGTTACTGATAATGTCTTGGTGAGTGGGCCTTTAACTGCGCACAGGAGTACAATTAAGCCCATGCTGTTTCCAGACACCTTATTGTGTGCCTACCCATTGCTCTGAGACCTGGCCCAAATATTTAGCATACTTTCTGGGAAATGGCCTGATAAGAGTTTCACAAACTAATGGAAGTGATGGGAGTATGGGTTGAAATTGCTATGACAAAAAATATAGCTATCCTGTTACTGGGACCCTAAAAGGTTATCCTATTATAATTACTGTGACCCCCAAAAGGCCATCCTGCTATGGCAAAAGTATAGTTACTGTGACCCTAAAGGCTATCCTGCTATGGCAAAATATAGCTACTGTGACCTTAAAGGTTAGCCTGTCCTTGCAACTCTCAACTCTTTAGAACATAGTAAATGTAGTTGCTTTGGCTGCCTTCATAATTTTTTAACTAGAGGAAATATAGGGTGACTTTACTAACATCATGTATACTTTTGATTATTGTTTGATCATTTATGAGGTTGTAGAGCCTACAATTGTAGAGGGATTTAATGTTTGAAACTTTTGTCTTAGATTTTTATATTTTTTCTCTTTTGATGTATTTCTCTCATTAAGTGATGGATAAGTTATAGAATAAGAAATGTAGTAGGAATGTATTACTGAATAAGATGTGTTGTCTACTGAGAAAATGTTGGCTGCAACATCAGAATGGATAATGTCCTGTCTTAAGGTGAAACTATCTGTAGAGTTGTCTTTGGAAACATTTACTTGCCCATTGTAGAGCAGAAACCTAAATGGAGTAAACATGGCTCATTGCTAATTGCAGTTCCTTCCGTCGTTGTAACTCTTGCTTAGTTAGCAAACTGTGTGGGCCTGCAGACCTAATGACCTTTGGTGCCAATACCCTAATCCCCATAAACCAAGTTCTCAGCCCTTTTCCCATGCATAATTCAAGGTAGGGGTCTGGTTGTCACAGGCAGCGCCAAGGATGGGACCCAGACTTGAGGGAAGTAAGTAGGGGCTGGCAAGCCGAGATAAGCAAAGAATGTGGGGTTCTCCCTCACTCGCCTCTCAAGCAGTTGTAAATTGTGCCCCCCTTGAAGCTATGTCAAAATGCCCTAAAAAAGACTGTGTACTGCTTCTGTATAAATAAAGTGGACAGCTTTCTCGCGTGGTCCACAATGATGTTGGAATTGTAGTGGTCCGTCTCTTCTTTCTACGCCTACTTCACGCACCCTTCTCGAGCTCCGAACTCAGCTGGAGCTGGACTCCGGCATACCATATGATCCAGCAATAGCACGTCTGAAAGGGATATATCCCAAACACCTATTACACAAAAAACCAACATGCACCCCCATGTTTATAGCAGCACAATCAATAATTGCAAAAACTTGGAAGCGATCGAAATGCCCATCAACAGAAGACTGGATATGAAAGCTATGGTTCATCTACTCCATGGAATACTGCTTAGCTATTAAAAAAAGCAAAATGCAGTTCTTTGTGGTCAAATGGACCCAACAGGAAACCATTATGCTAAGAGAAATGAGCCAATCCTCCAAAGGTTAGATACCACATGTTTGCCTTAATTTAAGAGGAAATATGTCAATCCGAAAAATAGTACCTTTAAATTGTGATATTATTTCAACTTCAAACAGCCTGTATCACATGCAATAAGATACTGTGATGTAAGCAATGAACCAACAATCAATGTCAGTCTGACTACTAATGATCTACATCAAGAACTGTAAAGCCAAATACACTTTTAATACCCTATGTTATTCTGTAATGGGGCAGGAGAGCAGAGAAATCTTCGACCTCCTCAGAATGTGTGAGGAAGATGCTAAGTATAACCTACCAAGAATATAACAGGTAACTTATAGATAACAGACTCAAATCAGCATTAGACATTAACCAAACTATAAAGACATTCAGGGAGAATCAAGAGTGATTCTGGCAACCTCTTTACAGGTAGTCATATGTACAGAGCAGGGAGGACCCTAGAGTGGAACAAGCAGACAGGAGGAGGCTTGTATCCCAACCCTGAAGACTCCCAGATCCTCACCAAGGACTATCAGGACAGGCACCAAGGGCTGTATCCCAACTGCCAAGGAGACCACAGGGAAATGGACTGCCCTCATAGGTCAAGAACTCTGAGGTCATCTACTCCATTTTGGATCTCCCACATGGGATGGAGGAAGCCCAGATCCTTCCTCACAGGAGAGAATGTCATTGGAACAACAGCTGGGAGCCCTGAGCAGACCTCTGAAACTGAAGAATAATAAACATCCTCTGGGTCTCAGGAGAGGAGCTTTCTCTGGTCCTTACTTAGTTCCAACTTTGAATCCCCACCCTCTCTTGCAATGACCATCAGGGTCACTCCGGAGCATCACCCCCAAAACAATTAGATAAACAGAAACCAATAAGGAAAGCTTAGAATCAGACAGGAAACAGTCACCTTGGACTCACATATACCTTACTAGGTAGGACGTGAGGATTAGTTATTCCTCACTAACTTATTGAAGATTTCTCTGCACACCCCTCCTAAAATTGTTCTGTGCCTCAACTGTTGACATATGCCTTGCTAGAGTTATAAGCCAGTTTGGACTATCTTAAAATCCACCAAGTTCAGTAAAAAGTATGCTTCAGCACTATAAACTACTAAATACAAAAATGAAAATAGATACGAGACAGCTGAATAGTACCCTATAGCCATTCTAAGGTATATAGCAGCTGGTTGTGTATAAACTAAAATTGAAATGTCAATGAAGTAGTCACAGGAGGTGGTTAAGAACTTGTATTTTCTAACAAATTGGTCACTCAATACCATGTCATTTAACTCCATAGTGTTGTAAATTGTTGATGTTATGTTGAGGCTTTTCATTGAATGGGATGATATTCTGCCAGCTCTGCTTTCAGACCAGAGATGGTTTCCCCAAGAAACTGTTGAATTTATCTGGACAATAAGATACTGGACTCTATGCATGGTACATGCTTGCAATGAAAGAATCATGATTGGATTTGAACTGTAATACTGCAACTAGTTGGAGGAATCCACCATGGGGGAAGGATGTGGAGGGGGG